TATCTAATGATAAAAAAAAATATTAATAAGCAAAGGTAATCTAACTAAATGTTTCTTATCTCAGGGGGATCACGTCGGGGTCACCAATTTAGAAAACTACATGGGGTATGGACTATGTTGCGTGTTAACTAGTAATCCCACATAATTCCCTTTTTTAATTAAACTACTAAAAAGCAGTATCCCTCCAGACAAGAAAACACTTAATAAATGATCACATCCAGACAAATTGATTATGGTTAAAAACTGGTTCTATATTCTATAATTTCACATAAGATACAATGATTACAGAATTATCAGAAACCTCTTCTGTCTATCTCAACAGTGACAGACAATTAAACTATCACTAGGCCCTTGGTAGTTACTATTAATAATCAAACATAGATAACTTCCAACAGCACATTAATGTAAAGGAGACTCAACTTAGTCACTATTATGGTATTAATGATTACCGCTGAATACAAGTCTCGAAATATCAGGAGTCTAGCTGTTCAGTACAACTTAAAACAGTACTAAAACAAGTCAGTTAAATATCATTCCCACTGCATGAATAATAACAGTCAAGAAAATACTACTCAAATCTAAGCTAGACAGCGTTTAGATTTACTTACATAGGCACGAAATATTGTGGTTCAAGAAACCGCTAAACAAATCTCTACTTGTGTATGTGTACGGAATGCACAACACGAGAATACAACAATATATCGGTGGATCTAGACTATAGCAGATCTAGATCAGTAGACCAGGCATAGGCCTAGAACTAGTGCAATTATAAACATGTAAAATATGTGTTAGTAAGCGTACGCACTCAACAACAGGCACTCAGTCAGTCAAAATAAGGCCTCACAATGATAAACAATGCAAAGCATAAATCACAATATAATTAACGTTACGTGAGTCATTGGAGTTGAATTCAAAGTAGATCTTCTTCAAGTTCTAGGTAGATGTAGAAACTAGCTAGTCGAAAACAGTGGTCGACGAGCTGGTTGTCGATCGCGTAGGATATGCAGACGATGATCGACGCTAGGTGAATACCACGAATGATGAAGACGATGTTGAAGACAACGATGATGACAACAATGATGAAGACGACGCTGGTGAAGACAGCGATGATGAAGTCGACGATGAAGACGACGCTGGTGAAGACAGCGATGATGAAGACAACGGTGATGAAGACACGATGATGAATCAGTTAACAGATGAATACAATGATGATGCAGTCAATGTCAATAGATCAACTTCAGTGACTTGCGATGCAGGTCGAAGAATCAAATGTCGAGACAATATAGATCTAGGGCCTAGGCCTATATGAAGTCGATGATAAAAGGTTGTCAAACAATAATGCAGGTGAGAAAAACGTTAGATCATATTAAATGTTCTATTCTCACTGCTGGTGAATTAAAGTGTCGTCAATGTTGAACATCGAGAGAGTCAAAATATATCTTGCAAAACGTACAAGATGTAAATAGGTGAGCACGTCCACCGGGAATGGTCCGGGGACGTAGCAGTTCAATCCTCGTTGGATACAATTTTCTAGGTACAAAAATCAACACAATAACAGCATGTGTGTATACCAATATTAAAACAGCTCACTGATTCCCGCACAGGAAAATCAGAAGAGCGCCAATCAACTACAGCGCGATTGGTTCAAAACAAGCGCACATGTATGTTAATAAGGCACGTGATCTAAATACTTATGAATAAATACGCGTACATCTATGTTAATTGGTCATGTGATCAAAATACTAATGAATAAACATCGTTATATAATAAATCGAGTTAAAACCAGTTCTGAGGACATGGCGTAATACCAAATCCTCGAACTCTCAATGACTTCTAAAGCGGCCATTTTGGATTAAAAACACAATATGTATACCAGTGAATTATAAATGAATGCACTGTAACATTTGTCGCTACACACGCAAAAAGTAATGGATTAAGTGAAAATAGGGTAATAATAAAGTAAAAAGGGTTATTTATGACATTATTTGCGAATCTACGTGTTTAAATAATCAAAGGAGATGGTAAAGTGAAGGTCAAAAGGAAAAAAAAGTGGAAAAAAAAAGTGTTGGAGACACCCGGACTCGAACCAGGGATCTCGAGGTTGGAAGTCAAGTGCGTTACCGATATACCAAAACATCTCCCATAGCGATTACACGTAAACAGGAAATGGAATTCAGAAATCCTACTTTGCAAGTGAAATATGAGCATGATCCCGGCATCTAATCGAAAAATAAAGGGCACACCTGTGATAGCTCATTATCTCAGCTACAACATATCCGAAGCTCAGCAAAAACGAAGCTAAAACAACGGAGATTTTGCTCGCGAAAGACAGGAGTGTAGAATCCAGTTTTGAGAAAAAGTCATGTCCCATAGAGAATACACGCAAAATGCGAAAAATTGACATGCCTCCTTTAATCGCAAAAATACACTATGGTACTTTTGTCAAAAATAAAAATTGTGAACATTACATTTGTAGAAAATTGTCTCAGCTAGAACATATCAAAATTAAAAAGAAAATTGATCCATATTTACAGAGATACAAGCAATTTTCCAAAAATATGCTGACGTCATAATATGCAAATTGAAATTTTGAGTTTGGAGGCCATTATGATGACGTCATGAGTTAATTGAGGATCAAATGAGACATGAAATCATATCTCCGACTCATAATCTATCCAAATATGACAAAATATTAGGAGTTTCTATCTATTCTAAAGAGTTACAATGAATTTTATATAGGCATGTTTTTGCCCATGTATTGTGGATAAAGATAACGCAAATCCGCGCGTGCTGTCAACTTTGACGGACGCTCATTGCGTTAATAAAAGGTGAACAAATTATCAAAATGCTTGGAAAAATGTACCGAATATGATGACAGAAAAAAATCGGCGATTCAATGTTGCAAAATGCCAGTACGCGCGAAAACGCGCGCGCATGCGCGTGTGCGTAATTTTTTTATCAAATGCTCCATATGGCCTGACACGTATGCAAAAAAAATTTGGGATGATTTAGAGCATTTTTAATTTTTGCGCGCGCGTAAACGCGCGGACAAGCGCGCACGCGCGCATTTACGCACGTTTATTGACCTCAACTTGACCGGACGGATATTGATCTTAATCATGATAAATATGAATGAAAAATTATTATTCGTTATAAAGATATGATTATTAGTTGATTTTCACAAAATGGCGCCTGGATGACGTCACGATGACTTTGAGTCTTTGAAAAGTCACGCAGTTCTAAGTTAGACTAAGATCTATCATCATTGAAAGATTCATAACAATGGCTTTATTCAGTCTTGAGATATCCTGCGAACAAATTCGAGGAAGAATAATAATAAATAAATAAATAATAAAAATCTTGACGAAATCAAAAGGTGATACGTCTACGTACGTATCACCTAATAATAATAACATCGAGTACTTAGGAAGGTACGAGCGAAAAGCACCATAATGCTTACAAGATTACTACAGAATGTGAAGAAAAACATAACAGAAATCTAATCATAAGATAGGTAAATCACATTATAATAATTGTTACTGATGGATTAAAGGGATCCGGTAACTTTGTCTTAGATCCTTTAGAAATAATCCTTAAATTAGCTCATGCTGCAATAATAATTATAAACCTTTAGGTCAGTCAGGAACTCCATGACTTTTACAAGCCGATCGCCTGTCTGATTATCAAGATATTAATGATTGGAATTACAAATTTTGAAAACCGTTCGTCAATAACTGATCACGTCATAATCATGATCTGTAATGCTACGGTCACAAAGGTTCGTACGAACGATAATTTCGTACGAATCTCCCTGTTTTTCCATTGTCTTCCCCAATTTCCATTGTTTGAAAATCGTTCGTACGGCGTTCGTAGCAGTTCGTAATGGCATTTGTGACCGAGGCTTAAGATTCGAAGAACCATGCTTGTCAGGAGACTTCCACAATTTTGATAATAGAGTGAAAAGCTCACAAATTGTTTTCACCTTTCAAAGAACTTAACATTCAAAATGAATTTGTTATCAATCATTTATCGTTATAAATTCAATAAGATCACACAGATATTTCGATGAGTCACATGTTCATCGGAGATAGAGACTTTGACTTGTGAAGGTTATCTGAAAGACGATTCCGGTTTTGAGATTAGATAGGCACAGAGCCATCTATATACAGAGTTTGGTCAACTTGGTTTCACTGGGTCACAACATGGCGTATATTATTTTGTTTTGTGCTTACCCAACAAAGCAGTAGTCGCCATATTGTGTCCAACTCGAACCGGGTTGGCCAAACTATGTGTATAGATGGCTCTGGATAGACATATATCATAGTTCCCAATCTACCTGAATATGGTGGCCCATAAATACGTCCAATGATACTTCCGATAATGTGGAGGAGTTTCACCGGTACCAGAACATTGGAAATCTTTTTAAAAGAAAATGATACTAAATTTTCCCCACCAATCTTTCTTCTATTTTACTAGACGTGTTCTTTAAAAAAAAAAAAAAAAAAATATGGAGACATCCACTGGTAGTATTCCCCGCAGAAAAAACGTATCATTGTGTGATTTCAGAAATTATAGTATGCCTGAGCTTTTGTGCAAGCTGCGATAAACATCAAATTGAGCACAATATTACCACACATATTTTTCTTTTCGGGCATTTTTATTGACTTAAGAAATACCTTTGTCAACAAAAAGATATTTTGTCCATGATTAATGTTAGTTTCACAACGTTATTAGTATGTTACCCTACAAATGTATAATTCAAACAAAACAAACAAAACCTATAAACACATGCAAGATGTGAGAGGACAATCTTCTATATGTTGTTAATGATTTTGTTGTTGTTGCCATTGTTATTAATTGTCATTGCGGTGGGGATGTGTTTGTGTGTTTGTTTGTTTTTAAATGTATGTTTGCTCTTCTGTTTTAAGGAGCTTGAACTTGCCATAACTTCAAAATCTTTCTATTTTTAAGATGCATGATAATCGCATTTTATATATTACCTTGGGCTCAGGCACAAGGACGTCCAGGTAAAGACAATCCTCCGAGAAATTGAGTGGCTCGCTATCGTCAAACATTATCGGATTCTTAGCCTGAAGACAGAGTAAACAGTCGCCCGTCGCATCGAATTCTCCATCCAAGGTCTTCGGAACTGGTTCGGCATACCGAAGATCCCCGATCGGTGGCTCGGCGAAAGGAATATTCTTATACACGGCTACGCTCCGATGAAAATCATTGCCGAGTTGTCGATGCTGTATGCTGATTCGCTCGCCTCGTATAGTCGCCTTCATCGTACGAACCGCGGGACGTTGTCCGACCGATCCATCATCGATGGCAAACGACGACGGAGTGTAGAATCCAATGCAAAATACCACCATTACAACAACGGATGACAATGTTAGCTCCATTTGTGATTTGTAGGCGTTCACTGATGTAGTTTACAAAATATAAGTGTTGCTTTAAATAGGAACTTAGTTTCAGACTGCTTTTCTCGAACCGAGCGTGTGAATGAGTACATTGAGCGAGTGTGTGTATTACAATTACCGCAACTTTGAACTTCGGACAGTCTTTTGAAATATACCAATGTCCATATTTACAATGGTATCGTATCTTATTGACAAGAGGTGTTTGAAAATAGGTCTCTTGTGGCAGGTCACTTGAACTTGGTTCTATGCTAGTTCATATTGTAGGCCTATAAGGTTAATGGTACATCCCTGGTTATTTTTGTAAAGAACGGCTCGCACGACTATGATTGTTTCCTTCCTGTCTAAAACGCCAATTTAGGCGGGTGGATTATACTGCCATTCCGTGGCAAAACAGCATAACTGACATTTCTTGCAAAATTGAGTTATTTCATGTGGGTGACTCAGAACATCGAGTTCCATATGTTAAACTAAAATTCAAGGTTTAAAGATACTGTATCCCTTTTGCAGCCAACATCAAATTATGTTGAACTTTGCAGGAATTATGAAAATGTCACGTATGTCCTAACTATGAAATTTAGACATTAGCAGTGTCTTTAAGTATTCAAATTATGGTCTCGTTATATCACTTTCCATTATCGGCATTGCTCTTTCTATTGTATATTTTGGACATTCCGTCAGATAGTGTATTATTGTTTCTGGGGTGTTACAGTATTTACAATTTTTGTTGGCTTGGTCAGGTTGGGTTGTTTGGGATACCCATATTTTTAAGGGGTCTGCGTTTAGTTCTATGTTGCAAAGTCTGAGCCTGCGAATTTTGACTTTGCATACGCGCAGTCTCTATTAAGGATTGGAAGACCAATCCTTAATTAGTGCAGTAGTCGATACAATACCACTATATTGTCGTGTTAAAGCTTATCTGCCATAGTTTACAGGAGGGATTAGAGCGCCCTGCAAGGTCACTGGACAGGTGGTTATCTCATCAACTCAGCTCTCAGTTAACATAAGAAAAAGAGGATCATGGGGGACCAATGGTCACCGATAAGGCATTTTTTGTTGTAAGAGGGCGCAAGTAGCAATAAGTAGTGCAGTGGGCCTTTAAGACTGTTATACTGTCTTATACTGTGTTACACATGTGCGGAAGTGTATACCAAGTTCAGGTCTAGGATTAGACCGTATATATCCAGGTGTAGTATACTTACATCCTATGTTTTAAGGTCGCAGTATAAAAGCTTATAGTCTAAAATACCTAATCCAGTTGTTGGGAATACCCCCTAGTTAGAATCTGGTTATACGTTTGAAGCATGGACGGAAGTCCTAGAAGCTTGGTTCCCTTCAATGACATTCAGACTGAAGAAAGGAGGAGAGTTTTTTCTTGAAGGGTTAGGTAGCATAGGTTATCACACCCTTCGTGCGTTGTTGCAGCCAGCTAACCCGTCAAGTAAAACATACGTACAATGTAAAGAGGCTTTGAATGCACTTTACTCGCCAAAACCCACATAAATAACAAACAAAATGACCCATCAGTTCCTAGCAAAACTTCGCCAATTAAGTTATGCATGTAATTTTAAGGAACTAGATAACATGCTGAGAGATCGGTTGGTTGTCGACCGAGTGTGCAGACGTCAACATTCAGCGAAAACTATTGGGAACGCCCAAATTAACTTTTGAGAATGCGGTAAACATTGCAACAGCGATGGAAGTCGTACAGTGAGATGTAGAACAGATCAAGAAAATTGGAAAGCCGCAAGATCACCCTACGTTTGTTCATAAGCTTCATAAAAGGCGCCAGAACCAGCGAGAAGGACTAGAGCAAGAGTATCAAAGCCCGACGAAAAACTTTTCTACTGCAAAGAAGTGTTGGAGATGCGGTGATAGCCATGCACCAGAGCCCTTTAAATTCTGCGATGAACAGTGCTACAAGTGCTCTAAAAGAGGTCACACAAAGAGCCAGTGTGATCAAATGAAAGCTTAGAAGTTTCAACAGAAATTCTATCACAAGAAGATACAGTCTTCAAAGAAAGTATATCACTTAGATGCTGGAGATCAGGTTCATCAAAAGGAAAGATGGACCACTTGGAGGATGAATCGATCAACAATTTATCGAAATCTGATCCGTATATAGCCACTATGATAATGAACGGCAGAGAAGCGCAGCTCGAAGTGGATACTGGAAGCCCACGAAATGTCGTTTCAAAGGAAGTATTCAGGAAAATCAGCAAAGATTCCAAAAAGACTTCCAGTAACATCAAGTTGAAAATGTATACGGGAGAGAAGGTAGACATCTACGGAGAAGTCATAAATGAAGCCAGAACAAAATAATCTGTTTGTATTTCAAAAGGGTAAAAGTCTAATCGGAAGAGACTGGATACGGAAGTACACACAGTTTCTCTCATTGCTAGCCAGCCCGAATGGACCAGTAGGAAATCCAAGCCAACCGAATGTTCACAAAGTTCAAAAAATGTGTAAGATGAAGTACTTGGAAGACATCAAGATGTTCTAAACGCTGATGAGTTAGGAAAGCTGCACATTTTTCAAGCCAAAGTCTATCCCCAGGATCGGACATTCCCGACGTATTAAGCGCTATATAAGCAATAATATTATTATTCTTATTATTCTTATTATTATTATTATTATTATGTGGAGGACCAGCCAAGATGCATCAAAGCAAATCCCCTGCCCTATGGTATGCGGAAGAAAATGGATGATACATTGGATGAACTCCTGGAAGAAGGGGTCATCGAGCCAGTCAAGTTCTCGGAGTATGCCTGCCTAATCGTTGCTGTAAAGAAATCAGATGGTAAAGCGCGAAATTGTGGGTACTACAAACTTTTACGTACAGTACCCAATACCAAGTCTAGAGGATATGATTGTTGCAAGATCTGAAAGGCGGAGAGAAATTCAGCAAACTAGATTTGTCTCATGCCTACCATCAGATTGAACTTGATAGTGAAGCGAGAAAGTATACTACTATCAGCACCCACATAGGACTATTTCAGTATACCAGATTGTCTTTTGGCATAGCAAGCGCACTTGCTCTCTTTCAGCGAACGATGGAGACGCTCTTAGCAGAAAAGCCGATATGTCACCCATATCAAGACGACACAATCGTAAGTGGAACTACAGATGAGGAGCACCTAGCCAACTTAGAAGCAGCACTGGAGTGTCTTGAGAAGAAAAGGAGTGCGCTTAAAGAAGGAAAATGCGAGTTCATGATGGACTCTATCGACCCTTCTTGGCCACATATTGGACAAGCAAGGTATCATCCCAGTCCCTCAGAAAGTAGACAGCATTCTGCAGACACCCAGTCCAGTGAACAAGACCCAACTGAAGGCTCATCTCGGACTTTTGGGTTATTACAGGAGGTTTTTGCCAAATCTCAGCACAGAGATAGAGCCACTTACGGAGCAGTATGTTTCAAAGTACGCCATGGGACACTGGAAGCAGAGCCCAGATGCAGCCGACCAAATGTTCAAGTACAAGGACAAGTACTCACACACTGTTTATTATTGTTTTGTTATTGTTTATATTATGTGAAGAAATGAAAAATAAATTCGCTCTGTATAGAGCTACTACTACTACTACTACTACTACTGTGACCTGAAGAAGCCGCTCTTTCTGCAAACAGACGCAAGTCTATATGGACTTGGTGCAGTCATCAGTCATATGAGTGCAGATTGCCGGGAACAACCAATCGCCTCTGCATCAAGAACTTTGACAAAAGCCGAACGCAACTATGCCCAGTACGAGAAAGTAGGACTGTCAATCATGTTTGGCCTAAAGAAATTCCACAAGTACCTCTTTAGAAGGTAATCCATCATAATCACGGACCATATACGCCATTGGTAGGAATAGTAAGTGAGAAGCAAGCAAGCCCAGTGAACTCATCACGAGTAGCACGATGGCACAGGGTTCTTTCTGCGTACAATTACAAAATCATCCACAAGGAACGAAGAGTACATCAGAACGCAGATAGTCTATGACGCCTACCTATGAAGGATGATACATCTACTTGGTTGCATCCAGATCTAGCAGAACTTGATGAGCAGCCCGAAGTGTAGATTAGCATTCTTGAAGTAGACACCAGACCGGTGGAAACTGAAGAAGTAAGAAGGTACACCAAAAAAGATCCTGAACTCTCACGCATAAAGACGCACATTTTTGATAATTTGTCCCCCGAGTTTAGCCCCCTTTGTCCGGAAGAGGGAAGAACTGTCACTTGAAGGTTTCGATGTACAGTGGGGAACCTCGTGTTATCATTCCAGGCAATAAGGAAATGCGACAAAGGAACATTGATGAGCTTCATAGTACTCACCCTGGCATTTTCAAGATGAAGGCTTTAGCAAGATCAATTGTGTGGTGGCCAGGAATTTGCAAGAGTTTGAAGGAGAAGGTAAAACCTGCCCAACTTGTCAGGAGCACCAACGAAGCCCACAACCTTTCCCGATCCGCCCATGGGAGTTCCCAGGGAGGCCATGGGGTAGGATTCACATTGAATGTCCTGATAGACGCCTACACCAAGTGGATGGAAGCTTTTCGGGTTGCAAACTCAACTACAGCTGCCACTGTGACTATCATGCGACGTATTTTTGCAACATATACAGCATTCCTGAGACGGTCGTTAGGGATAATGACAGATGTTCAAACAGCCACAAAACACTCTTCAATCAATTGTCTAGCTGAAAGTGCCGTACAAACAGTGACGAACGGTGTAAAGAGATGCACATCGTGAACTTTCTGTCGACCTGTCGGATAACCCCTCAAGGAACCAAAATTTGGCGACGCCCCTGGTTCGAACTCGTATCCACTCTAAAAAAAAACACTTTTTCGAGTTAGAGCTGAAACCGACATTTATATCTGTTCGGAGAAGGCATAACTCATAGAACATCCTGATACAAGAGAATACTGCCATTCTTCTGGATTGTCATATCACTTTGTCTCGGATATAATTATGTTTATAAACTTGTTGTTTTTAACTGTGGTCTCATTGTTATTCTAATTTTCAATATTTATCTAAACATGTCTTTTCTCCCTCATTTTCTATATCAAGCTTTATCCCATCTGTCCTTTCATTTCCCTTTCTTTTTCAATTTGTTTGCTGATTTTTTTTATTTTGTTGGTGCAATATGTTATTCCAACTTTGTATATAGTACTGTGCATATTACTGTTATTTATCTAACCAATTTTCAATGTATTGTATTTTATAATATAATTTTTAATCTGTTGTAAATTCATTTTTTCAGGATTTGCAATGGCTGCCAGTGACGTAATGAGCAAAAATGTTGGGGAGGGGGCAGAAAAAAAATCCGCACCACCACCACTCTTACATGTTACATGCAGGCCCCACGGAACGTTTTTCAAAGAGGGAGGGGTGCTAAAGTATTTACGATCAGGAAGAGCGAAGCAAGCTGAGCGTCAATTCGCGTGGGGTCCATGGGCGGAGCCCCAAGAAGCTCATGGGTTTTATGCATTTTATTACGGTCAGATGAGCAGTTAGGGGCCCGCCTTAGGACCCCTGGTCGGGTACAGAGGGTGGAGCCCGCGGAAGCTCAGGGGTTTTAGGCATTTAATTACGATCAGATGAGCATTCAGGGGCCGCCTTTGGGCCCTTTGTGGAGTCCAGGGGGCAGAGCCTCCGGAAGCTCAGGTAAAAATCATGCCTTTTCAGCAACATTTGTAAATCACTGGTATCGAATTAGAAATAAACCACGTTTGGATTTTATTTGGGAGGTCAACTGCAACCCCCTCCCCCCCCCCCCCCCCCCCTTCCCACACCACTCTTCCGGATACCCCTTTCCTATCCTTTTGCCCCATCCCATCCCCTACCAACTCCTCACTCCCTCTCCCCCCCTCTCTCTCTCTCTCTCTCTCTCTCTCTCTCTCTCTCTCTCTCTGTAGTTATCTTTATCGTTCACGAATGAATTATCACGACTCATTGACCTTTCCTTCTACAACTTAAAAGACACATAAAATGCAATTTACTGATTTTAACACACATTTTGATCACTGTCATTTAATATTCATGAATTGCATTATTATAGTTCACATTAAGTTTCAGTTTGTCTCCAGTGAAGACAGAAATAATTGTTTGTTACTATGGATGCCCAGGGGGGTGTTTCACAAAGATCCTAAGTTGAACTTATCTCTAAGTTGGACTTAAAAATTATGGAAAGCCATTAGCATCTTTGAAAATATTTTGTAAAAATTATTTTGAAAGGCATAAAATGTTGATTCAAATCATTCATATTTTCTATCATCAAGGAGATTTCATGTTCTTCATGTGGAATTTATAAAAAAAAAGTCTAAAATACTTGAATTTCTGTTTTTGAATATATTTCATTTTAAGACTCCAATGGCTGTCCATAATTTTTAAGTCAAACTTAATGTTAAGTTCTACTTAGGATCTTTGTGAAACGCCACCCAGGAATTATAGCTATTTGGGTCTACATGTATACAACAAGCAAATCAATAGCTTACATTATAATTGTGATAATGCAGTACCGTAAACAAACTTAATAACATTCAATCGCAATGAAATGAAAAATAGAAAGAGAGAAATTATTGCATTACACTAACATCATTCAAGAGTAAAAATAAATATTTGTTATTTTGCTCAGGCCTACATAAAAAGGAAATAGAATTACAAAGGCTCCCCAAGATTATATCAAAAATCATAATCAATTGCATTACGTTTAGTTTAGTTCATGTAGTAGTAGCAGTAGTAGTAGTAGTAGTAGCAGCAGTAGTAGTAGTAGTAGTAGTAGTAGTACTAGTAGTAGTAGTAGTAGTAGCAGCAGTAGTAGTAGTAGTAGTAGTAGTAGTAGTAGTAGTAGTAGTAGTAGTAGTAGTAGTAGTAGTAGTAGTAGTAGTAATGTAGTAGTATAGAAGAATTAGCAGTAGTAGTAGTAGTAGTAGTAGTAGTAGTAGTAGTAGTAGTGGTAGTAATAGTAGTAGTAGTAGGAATAGTAGTACTACTACTAGTAGTAGTAGTAGTAGTAGTAGTAGTAGTAGGAATAGTAGTAGTAGTAATAGAAGTACAAGTAGTAGAAGTAGGATTAGTAGTATTTGTTGTTGTTGTTCTGTATTGTTGGCAGTAAAGTATAAACATGAGTAGATAACCCTGAATTAGCTTTTGAAGTTCAAGAAAGAAAACTCATTTTACAGTGGTTTTAAATGTCTCAATCAACCCCGAATTCGTACATTCACAACATGTATGACCTTCCACTGTGTATTAATACATGTATACAACTAATTACTTGGTAATCGTCATAAAATAATTTAACACGACATTATGATGGCATATATATTTCTATTGGATTTATGTTTATTCTCATGTGAACCAGTTGAACATTTCAATTAGTCGATAACATTACAGAGGAAAATAAATAAATAAGCTATTTGTAGGACACCAATAGAATGGCATAACGCCACAGTTCACACTGAACATCTCTGGAAAAATAACATTAAAATAACCTATTGCTGAAACCCTGTACAAGCTAATAATTGATATACAAGAAATAAATATAACAAACCCTTTGTAGGTCCCCTAGTTGATAAGCATAGTAGCATACACATGCTTTAGCAGTCACACAAAATAAACACTGGCAAATTATTATTCAATAAAATCTGAGAATGTATACTATTATCTAGATCTATTAGGAATAAATCATTGTCAAAATAGTTCCATAAATTGAGGTAAAAAAAAAATATTCTAACTATATGAGCGACAGTGTATGAAAAGAATATTCAGACCGACCTTGAATGTTAATAGACCTGTTGGACACAATTGAAGTATTATATAAAAGACTTTAAATGGGTTACAACTTATATCAAACATGTCTATGGAAAGCGTTCTTGAAACTAGAATTTCAATTTAACATAATGACACCATAGAAGAGGTAAAAGTGGTTATAATGTTACACCATTAAATAAGGGTTATATATTCATTTGTATTGGAATGTTTATAACAATACAGCTATGGCTGATTACAGATGGATACAGAATAGGAATATAAATAGATTTCATAAAACAAGATGAAGAATATACTGATTAGCACAATTTTTTAAATTAAATACATAATTTGAAAATCATTTCATCAATTATTGCATATTGAGACAGTTCTCATGGCAACATTACAAAAAGTATCTGAATTGGCAAGAGCAGAAAATTTCATTAATTACATGATTATGGAAAGTACAACAAAATTACAAAATGACAAACATAATTAGAAAGCATAATATTGTTCACATTGTAAGACAATGTGTTATCTAGCTTGATCTTACTTGATCAACCTTTGAAATCCCTTGATTCACCAGTTTTCCTCATTTTATCAAACTTTGTTTGATATTTGGTTAAAGAGCTTGTCCAAATTTGCATACAAAAAATATGTGAATAGCACAAGGAAATTACTGCAAAACTATGGAATGATGAACATATTCAGAAAAACATAACTTTTTTGACATTGTAAGGCAATTCATCAACATTGATCACATTTGATCAACCTATTATATCGCTTGATTTACCTTTTTACTTATTTGATCAAAATTTGCTAATTGATTGTTCACAAGTGCATAGCAAAAGATGTGTTCAAGTATGGCACAAAGATATTGCACTATCATGCAGAAATAAATATATATGTCGGTGGTTTCGACTTTGTAAAAACCAACATATACCAGATTATAAGAATAGATATTTAATAAAAATTACAAAGATCAAAGATTGACCATTGCCGATACAATCTTACATATTTAAAAAATAAAGTTCATGACAAAGAGCATGACAACGGTACTGCCAATGACATGGTTAAAACAGTAGCAAGGAGAATGACTTTCAGCATGTTTCTACAAGAGACTCGCAAAGTACAGGAACATTGCATACCTAGAATAGCCACACAAAGTGACCCCTACCATTCTACAGGTTGCTGTCCTAAATTATTTTCTATCTCTCATTCGATCCATATCTCATTTGAAGAGAAATAAAAAGAGATTTGCAGCAGCTTAGTATTGCTACCTTGCTTGTATCTTCATATTTATCAACTAATTTTTTTTAAATTGATCAAATTTTTTGTGGGCTTTCCAAAGCTGTATATGACCTTTAACCATCAGTGTCACATGGCGTGACATTTACCACTGAAAAATGTGAATTTTAAGATGATTGCAGAGACTTTCAAGTACTGAAGAGAAAATTACAATACTCTCTACTATGTCAAGGTAATGTTCCCACTTTTCAAAAAGTAATGCCTCAGGATAATGAAATTCCTTTGTCTTTACGTTGAATCTTTTAAAACTTATGAAACACATCTGAAAGCCATCAAACGACACATAAAACAACACTTTCGACCAAAGGGAAAATATAACTTACCGGGTATAATACTATATTACACATGTATGAAATAATAGCACAGAACTGATAATACAGTCAGTAAAATACAAACATAAAAAACAGTCTACAAGTCGAAAACCGAGACTGGGGTAGGCGTATTGTCCGCTTTCAAAGACTACTCAAATTTGTATGCCTGATACATCTTTTAGATGATGAGTACAAAGGTTAAACCTAAGACACACATATCTGATTGATACACTTCAATCTGTATACATTTTAAACATGCACACACAAATACCCAAACAGCTGGGACTGCCTTGTACAAGCTGAGATGGTAAACTCTAATTTACATGATCAAATACAATGTACATTACATCTTAAGAAAAATATATGGAAATTTCTATTAAATTAACATGATTCTAAATACCTTGCATCATATATGTAGAGGAATATGACGCTGCCAATACGTTGATCAAAGAAACATTTTCTTCTTGTTTGCGCAGCCAGGCGGTATGTTTATTCCTCTCCATTAGGTGATTGGCCAATTAGAAGAAAGGTGATACTCCATTCCAGTCTACGTGGGCACCAGGCCATCTGTTCAGAGGGATAAATAAATTTAAAAAATGAAATTCCTTGGCTGCAGAGTATAATATCATGACATGGAGAATAATGAAATAAAGGGTAATAATATAGCAATGATCATTTCTTTATCATTATTATTATTATCATCGTCATCATGATCATCATCATCATTATTGTTATCATTATCATCATCATCGTCATCATTATCATTATCATTATCACTATCACTATCACTATCATCATTATCATTATCATTATCATTATCATTATCACTATCACTATCACTATCATCATTATCATTATCATTATCATTATCATTATCACTATCACTATTATTATCATTATCATTATCATTATCATTATCATTATCACTATCACTATTATTATCATTATCATTATCGTTATCATTATCATTATCACTATCACTATCATTATCATTATCATTATCATTATCATTATCACTATCATTATCATTATCATCATTATCATTATCACTATCATTATCATTATTACTATTATTATTATTATTATCATTATCATTATCATTATCACTATCACTATCATTATCATTATCATTATCATCGTCATCATTATCATTATCACTATTATTATTATTATTATCATTATTATTATCACTATCACTATCATTATCATTATCATTATCATCATTATCATTATCACTATTATTATTATTATCATTATCATTATCACTATCACTATCATTATCATTATCATTATCGTCATCATTATCATTATCACTATCATTATCATTATTATTATCATTATCATTATCATCGTCATCATTATCATTATCATTATCACTATCACTATCATTATCATTATCATCGTCATCATTATCATTATCACTATTATTATTATTATTATCATTATCATTATCACTATCATTATTATTATCATCATCATTATCATTATCACTATCACTATCATTATCATTATCATTATCACTATCACTATCATTATCATTATCATTATCATTATTATCACTATCATTATCATTATCATTATCATTATCACTATCATTATCATTATCACTATTATTATTATTATCATTATCATTATCATTATCACTATCACTATCATTATCATTATCATTATCATTATCATCGTCATCATTATCATTATCACTATCATTATCATTATTATCATTATCATTATCACTATCATTATTATTATCATCATCATTATCATTATCACTATCACTATCATTATCATTATCATTATCATCGTCATCATTATCATTATCACTATCATTATTATTATCATTATCATCATCATTATGACTACGCCATTGTAAATTGTGTATTATATTTTCTATTGTATTTTGTTCATGTGCTCTATGTAATGCCGACAAACTGAATTTGCAAATGGACCCATAAAAAATTAATCAATCAATCAATCATTATCATAATCATTATTATTATTATTATTATTGTTATTATTATTGTTATTATTATCATTATTATTATTATCATTATTATTATCAAATCAAAGTCTTACAAACCTGGATTGAATGCACTCTTCAAGGAGAGGAACATTCTTATCATCCTTTTTCTTTTTCTCCTCCATCAGTCTCAGTCTGGAATCTGTAAAATAAAAATAAAACATTAAAAATAAAAATGTATAGCGGTCACAAGGTACACTGTTCAAATCTCAGTCCAGCACAAACATCGTTTGGCAAGATGTGAATATACATCTGCCACTGTCCACTCAGATGTCATATGGGTACCACAGTACTGCATTGTAGTTTGATCAGATTTATGAGCATCTTTTAAATGGTGCTTGGCTGGAATGTTCCCCTAGTAATTTGAGAACATGCATATATTGCGTGCAGGCAAGCCTAAATCTGATGACAGAGGTAATCATATTTGCAATATAATGCAGAATGTTATTAATACTATAGCATATGTGTATATTAAAAATTCACTGGTTATTTAGGTTAAGAATGAAAATATCTTAATCATGCAATATACCATTTAAAATCTTGGTTATTGAATATATGAACATTTTGTACAAAATATAACTATCATTTTCAGTGTTCACTCATTCACGATTTCCATCCAAATCTATTTATTTAAAAAGGTTACAAATAGGCTGAAAATCAAGCTCTGCTAATGAAAATTCATGGAAACAACACTGCAAGTTTTTCCTTCCTTACTTCATTCATTTATCAAATTTTATATATCCGTTTATTTTTGTATTTGTTGCTTATTCATTTATTCTAATATATTTATTAATTCATTTATTTATTCCTTCGTACATTTCTTCCTTAACCACTCCATTTAATTATATATTTATTAACAAATCATTTCATCTATTTATCTGGCACATGAAATAAAAGTAATTGATTGAAACACTGGCTGCCTGGGTATGGAAAGGGCTAACATGATAATAATAATAATAACAATATTTATAAAGCGCAACATATCCATCTCAAGAGATGCTCAAGGCTCATACAAATAATTTAAATTAATATTCAACATATTCAACATAAATTTAACAATATGCATGGAGCATCAGGTGAGTTTTAAGCCCAGTTTTGAAAGAAGAGAGAGTGTTGGCCGTCTGAATAGAGAGAGGTAACTTATTCCACAAAGAAGGAGCTGCTGATGCAAATGCTCTATCCCCCCAATTTCTTTTGGTACGTGTTTCTCTAAGTCTAATATTATGTGATAACCCCCCCCCCCCTCCCTGAGTATGTGGCCCTAGGACCAGGAGGATTGTTCTGTGCAAACTAAATCTTCCCAAATTACACATTTCTTGCCTTGATCACCTGCATGACAATGCAAATAACACCAATACTGATATCCAATGAGAAATACAATGTGGACCAGGGAGATTATTTGTGCAGCTCAAAACGTTTAAACTACTCACCGATCGTCAGTCTAACTTCGTCTTTTTGTTCACGCTGACCAGTATAGTAATAGAGGTTGAACTTGGCTTCACTCCGCCAGTCTCGATTCAGGTTCAGATTGCAACAGAAGAAGAGCGAGTAACGCCCTTTTAACCTCAAAACCCATATGGGGAAGAGAGGTGTCTTCAGCATGCTCCCGATCTAGAGAAATGGTAAGAGAAAAGATAGTTACAATGAAAAGGAAAAGAAAAGGGAAAGTGATAAAGCTACAACTTTTAGACTCAGACCCAAAGTGGGAAAAGAGGTGTGTCAAGCATGCTTGGTATCTGTGATAGGGAAAGAGACAGTCAACTGAGTTCTAACCTTTCAGCCTCGATCTTAAAGAACAGAGCGATGGACCGTCAACATGCTCCCTATCTGAAGATGCATTTCATTGGGCTCAAATGGTCTTTTTCAAGTGGTATTATTGTTTAAGTGGCCCTAACATGTGGAGCAATGCGTGCAGTGCTTCGTAACTATATACAAAGAAAAGGCACTGCATCAAATACATCCTGAATTTGGATTTGAATTTTATTCTTTGAGTGACTAAAGAATATGTCTTTTATAAACTTTTGGAAACCCATAGGCCCGAATTCACAAAGAAGGTTTGTCGACAAACCTAGGTTTATGTGCATCATATGACGCGCTTCGATGCCTTTCTGACCAAGGTTCAGACAAACCTTGGTCTAAAACGCATGCAGCCTTATGGCAGGATATGAGTTAATGAGTTAATAGAATCATTAAACAATTAAAAAACAAGGTTACTTACTGTAATTTTCTTTGCATTCTTTGCCTCCTTTCCGTCGAGCCTGTCGACCACAAGTATGCCCACCTCGGCTCTCTGTCCGATACCGTACTGAGGTACATCCTGATCAGCGGATAATAAATGTGAAGATATAAAAACACAATGCCAGTATGCTTTCAGTGCCGTAGCCTTTCAAAATTAACAAAATTTAGGGTAAAAGGTGAATTTGGAATTACTTAACCCCTTAATGCTAGCGTTCTTCTTTCACTGGCATTCTAATTCAATGGGATACAAATAGTCCTAAAGCTTTGGGTGACTAGTTCATCCGTGCTTAAGGCCACAGTTTCAGCTCCCCCTTTACTATAACACTTGAAACCAGTGGCTGCACTTAAAACTTATATAATTTGAGCGGCGTATCTGTCAATAAATACTCACAAAGAGTAAACACCCCCCTCCTGTCAGCCTGGTTTTCACATTGGGTAATGAAACGATTTGCTGTTGAATAGTAAGATGTGGCTTTCTCCACTCCAGATACGAGACTGATAAAAGAGAAGTTGGACTCGGGTATGTCCATATGGAAATAGCACATACCCTTCCTTCTCATAACTCATGAACCACTTACCAATGGTTTAGCATCCAGACCATACTCCTGTTTGCCGTTGAAGAGGTAAGGTGTGGCTTGTCCCATCAAGATAAGATTGATGAGAGAGAGATTGCACTGGTCTGTCTCTGTAAAGAGTAGCTCACCCTGCAGGTCATCTTTGAGTCTTATGAGAGAACAGAAAATGCAATGAACATCTACTGACCAAACAAGTACAATAGCCAATATTTAGAATCAACTGAAATAACAACAGTATTGGATGGTTAATGCTAACAACATAAAATGGATAACAGTTCTGAATCAGTGAACAAAAAGCTGTCATTTTCATTTTAATGAAATATTTTTTTCTCTATAATATTAAGCCTGATCAATGTAGGGAGGATATTGATTAGCTTCATACCCCATCCCAATTATGTGATTCAACTATAAGTAATGAATTTCCAGGTTGTTCACATTGCCAGCTCAAAACTCTGTGTTAGTTTATTTATTTATTGTGGTATAAAAAAAACATTGTACATGGCAGCCTTTCGGCTGAATTGAGTGCAATTTGCATAAGTAATAACACAAGGATACTGCACAAAATACAATAGTATTAAAAAGTCATTAAAAATAGTACATTAATAACAAACAATTATAGGTACACCTTACATCAAAGAATATTGATGGTGGGATAACGGAAGTGGGTAATGGATGTGGAAAAATAAGTGTTTTATATATGTTATGACTTAAGCAAATTCATAGGAAAAATATAACAGTTGAATAAATTATGATCAGTGCTAAGAAAAATAATCTGTTTTGCATGCTTCAAAGTAGGCCTATTGTCATATGGGTGCAAGGTACATGTATATGGGGAACAAAATGGACATATTTTCACCTAAGACGAATGGAGAGTGAAATTATAGTTTCACCTCCTATTATTGGCTAATAAAGAATATGATTGGTAATGTAATATTGAAGTTAATATAATCCGTATAAACAAAACATGTACCTTCAGTAAACCATATCATTTTTCATTGAAGCACATCTATAAGATAACAATTTGATTTACGTATATGCTTAGCATTTAAGAACAAGAGATCTGTCTTTACATCATTCCAGTTTTTAATTGAGTTACCTCACAATGGAGGGGAGTGCGCTCTTTAGGTAGCATTCATTTTTGCATTTGATTTCTGAATAGTCATTGGCGTTGCGCAGGTTGTGGGAAGTGCAGAAAGCTCGCGTAGGGGGGAGCCAGTGATAGAAGGGGGACGTTTCCTTTGTGAGGTTACTCGCAAATTTCTTTGTTAACCTTTCCCTCCTCTCCTCCAGTGTGGGAAGGTCAAGAATATTGAACTCGGAAAACCTTGAATGGAGATGCCTGAAGAAGATATGAGAGCATCTGGCCTTACCCATGCTGATGCTGAGGACCTGAAGGCTTGGCAAAGGGCCATTATGGAATTGGAAAATACAGAAGCTCAATAACGCTAATGGCCTTTTTCTATGAAATAAAATACATAAATTAAAATTATTTCTGTAACTTGACTTACTTCAGGATTCGTCTGGAGAGGATGAGACTGAGAAGGAACATTAGAGGACCTCCTCCATCTTGGTCTTCAAACTAGACATAAAGAATAAAAACACATTATGGACAAGACATCACAATATACAAATATTAACTGGTCACAAAATGTACATTTGGTGTATGAAAGCAAACCATTTTCATTTCTGGTTTGTGTAGATGAGGCAAGTTGATTGATCTGTGTTTAACACCAGGGACCAACGATATGATGTCTTCTCATTTCACTTGCAAGTCAAGTTTTTTTCTGCAAGAGCCATATTAAACAAAAAATTGGGAAGGGGGGGGGTCCAGACCAAGTTAGTGTCGAGCCCTGGTCATGCCTTCAAGGTATAATATGTGCAAATGAACGTTATGGTTTTGTGAAGATTGTAAAGTAATCTAAAGAACACAGTTTTGAGTCCAGCTGCGGTACTTTGGCAAGACATTACTCTACATTTGCCACACTCGACCCAGGTGAGGTAAATGGGTAATTCCTTAAAATGCTAGAGTGCCATAATGGCGGCCATCGTAAAGCCGGGGTAATGTGTGGAAGTCCAGGAGTGGTTAATTCTCAAAGACATGAACACTTTATAAGAACCTCATATGATCATATAATAAAGTCTTATATGTACATCTAGTTAGTAAAGTATCAGACCAAAATAGTCCAGTGAAACACTCACCATTCCTAATTTCTTCTCCAGCAATTTGGTTACCTGCTTGTAACTTACACACTCTATCACTTTCACCTAGAAAATAAATGAAAGTTTAAAATATAAAGATAACAAGAATTAGTAACTTAGCACTACATAACTCCCATTTAAAACACAAAGAGGCCAATCATTTAGAAAGCATTATTTCGCTTTTCAAGAGCCTTAGTTTAAGATTGCAGAGCCAAGAAATCTTCATACACAAACCATACACATATCGAGCTTCATTAGTTATTATTTTAACAGTTCAACCTGACTAGAATGTTATATCTGCCAATATTGACAGGAATAAAAAAAAAACCAGTCAGACCATCATACAATTTCTAACTTCTTATGTCAATGAAACTATTGAATGAAATCAAACTAAATCAAAGAAAATATAATCAAAAGACACTTTTTTGCATTGTATGTATTTATTCAAGACAAAGTAAAATTCTACTAAAAAAACATAAAGGAAAGCGTTGTGATGGGTGTGAGAAGTCTATAAAAGCTGATCTACAAAATCAATTTAAATTATTTTTTAGAGCAGATCTAGCACCAGCCATGTTTAAAGCAATGTTGTCTCTATGACATACTTACTGTCTTTATGAAGTGCTCCAGTCTCTTTTGTTGGGAGTAAAGCAGAGCTGCATACGCTGGGTAGACTAGAGCAACAATGGCTTTCTTTCCCTCTCCTGCCCGCCATAGGATTGTGGCTAGTGTTTCAATAAATACCTTCCTCTGTTTCCATTCATACACAAGTTTTAATCGGCCTGCAACCCTGCAAAATAAAAGATATCAATTAATGGAAATCCTTCAAGAGATTCGCCTGGTTTTTACAGAAAGGATAGTCCTAAATTGTTTGTACCTGAATGCCCCATTTCTTGTAAAAATAAATTAGTATATTTAGACATTCCCTAGAAGGACCAGATGGCACCCTTGTAGCCTGTGGAAGTTCATTCAGTAGTTGATGGTTTTAAAGGGGGATTGACCTTTCGCCTTTTCACTGGCACAGGAAAATGTGTATCGTGGTGAACACGCACTAGAGACCCATGGTTGTTTTAATGCCTATTCATGCCCAGCTTCTGTGTCTATGTTCTGTCAAAAGAGAAATGGCTGCCTACATGAAGTTTTAATATTTGTCATTCTCTCTTTCTTTTTTTGTCCTTTCTCTCACTCAAATGCTAACTTACTGATTCTCTCTCTCCCTCATACACACCCACACTCACTCTCTTACTCCTCCAATCACCTAATCTCTATAACTGCTTCAATAATTAATAAGTTGATCACTCCTTTAAAGGTAAAGACCAGTTATGGTCATGCGATTGCATTGTGAAAGAAACGTTGTGGAATCGATCAGAAAAGGTTGATCATCTAGCATCTAGCATCTGCAAGGTTCTGGAATCATCAAAATGATAAGAAATTTGGCCCATTCTTCGTAAAGTTACAAGCACTATACACAGAAAGATGTATATGGGACTACCCTATATCTCTCACAGACCATGAGAGAAACAAATTTACCAAATATATGAATTAGTAGGCGGTTTCCCGGCGAATTTTTTATCATCATGTATTAGTCAAAACATATTCTTTCACATGATTGGTAATGAGAGCTTCCATTTCATTTTTTGAAATTAGGGCGTTTCCAATACTGGTCTTTACCTTTAATACCTCACTCACTCACTCCCCTTTCCTCCCCTCTCTTCCTCTTATTTTCCCTATTTTACTCAATCATTCTCTCTCTCTCTCTCTCTCTCGCTCTTTCTCGCGCTCTCTCTCTCTATCTTCTAAACATTTCCATTGGCTTGCATAAGTTTCTTACTTGGCTGGATCGTGTGCTGACTGGATACCATCATCTCCTCCACTGAATACCTTCTGAATGAATTGAGCTTGGATTGCTATTATTAGTCCTCTTGCTTTATCCTGTAATATAATAAATCAAAGAGTCATTAGAGGGGTATGCCTGTTTCAATCTGTCGGCCTTTGAACCTTCCTCATTGCTTTCAGCTTAACCCATCGCATAGGGAACCATGCATCTCCTCTGTTAAAGGGATCATTTAACAAATGTTAAATTTGAGATACACGGTTCTACATGTTACCAGTGTCTGTGATATGGTGTATACTGTAATATTGAAGCCCTTAAAAAAATCGTGCTTCAAAATGATCAAGAAGTGCCTCAAAAAAGAAAAAATCTTTGAGTGACCAGTTTTACCATACTCGTTTTCCCCAATAGACTGTAGTGTTATGAAAACCATTCAACAAACAGTTTTCAAAATTTGTAATTCCAATCATTAATGTCTTGATAATCAGACAGGCGATCGGCTTGTAAAAGTCATGGAGTTCCGGACTGACCTAAAGGTTTATAATTATCATTGCAGCATGAGCTAAATCAAGGATTATTTCTAAAGGATCTAAGACAAAGTTACCGGATCCCTTTAAGTTAATGGGAATATTAGAGAATCAGTTGTCAAAGGGTTAAAGCAGGACCAATGTTGTTCCCATTGGCAGTGGTGAACCTCTGTAGATACCAGTGCGGGTGAATTCAGAAGGGTCATCAGAGACGCTCACAATGCTAAATGAACCACACTGACTTACGCGTGACCTTTAGCATACCCATTTATCACCTGGGTAGAGAGAAACACTGCAGATAAAATGTCTGAGATGTATTATATTCATCCAATGAGTCACCAGACCTTATAACTATGGAAAGATGTGTGATAATGTAGGCCGGCCTACTGTACAGACATAGTGTAGTGCTTGCTGTGCGCTGTGCTTAGGCACATAATAGACATGACCAATAGTCTCAAGTTCCCAGCATATGATATTTTTGGTTGTCTGTTAGTTACTGCCTATAACAAGAAATAGCTGTCTAATACAAGCTTCTTGCAGGCTGCCAAGGATATACAGTTTATCATTAGAAAATATTTATAACTATCATACAAAATGTAGGCCCTTTGTTTTTAGGTATTTGTGAACAATATGATATAATAAATAATTTCTCATTCACTATCATGGCTGAAGATTATCTCAAAATCTTATTGTTCTATTCCTGTCTTTGTAATACATATTTGAGAATTAAGCTGTAGTAATACTGTAGTTATACAGGTAATGTTAATAGTAATATTAATAATAATAGTAATGTTAATAGTATACAAATATACGAAGCTGTGAGAAAGAATAGTGGGAATTATTTATCTGAGGAGGGACTGGCAAAGTACTATTTTTCTGAGGAAGAAATAGTAACTATTGCAGTCCCTCCGAAGATATATAATTTTCACTATTCTTACGAACTAAATGCTTGATATATTTGTTTTATATCACTTCGTTACGATCTGAACGTTTGATTAATGATTGGTTGGCATTATGGTTTTTAACTTTATTCTTATGTCACCCACATTTGGCCCGCGATATTGGAAAAGTTTCTAATCAGTTTGAATTTGTCAATTTAACCTGCGCACAATTATATTAACGCGCATTTAATGAGACGTGCTAATTGCGCATTATTTTTTACTGAACATGATGTGACGTCACAATGCTTTTTTACCTGAAAATCTCATAGAGCATGCGCAGTTCTGCCCATGAAAAAATAGTGGAAAATATTCAGAGCTCTGACAGAGATTTGTTTCAAATAGTGAAATTATATTTTATCACGTGACCACCAATTGACCAATCATGTATTTAGAAAACTCATGAATATTCATAGAAGGGATATAAAAATAGTTATTAGTAAGAGTAAGAGCTAGTAAAAGTAATAGTAAAGCATGCAGTAGTAGTTATACAAGTGACAGTAATACGTACTGTACACAAGGCATCCTTCACTGATATTGCACATAAAAGTAGCAGTGCAAGCATTATGGGGAATTAACTGGCAAACACACATATTGCATCTACAGGCTACCGGCTTGATTGTAAAGGTAGGGTAATAGTGCAATTGGAATGATACCTCATGTGCAGCGAGAAGGGTTCAATTAGCAGAGTAGGCCCTCAGAGATCCATAACCATGACAAAACATCAGCAGGACAAAGAGTCAATTAAATAATTAACAAGTTACTTTCTCTCCTAATGTTTGTTTCAGCGGTATTTGGTAGAGTGCTTTCATTTGAGAGAGAGTATCTCAATAAGCAGGGAAATTGGTGATTAATTAGAATTAACTTCACAGCTATGGTGCTCTTCTAGTGTCAAACAATGATATATAGCAAAAGCCACAGAAAATTATTACTATGTCTCATCTGCTCAGAGTTATTAAAAGGGTTTTATCTCATATTTTAACACAGAATTGATGCAAATGCCTTGGAGCACCGATGAAAATACTTTCAGAAATTAGTTAGGCAAAACTGGGATGCTTTTTTTCTTCCTTCATCTTCAAGTTACTTTTGTTTTAACTCTACCTTCTTTTGGAGACTCAAATTGCAAATACAAAGCTTTTATATCATCAGGGCCCCATTTCACAAAAATTGTCATCAATGAGAAATGACAGTTTTTGTTATAAAAGCTAGTGAAATCTTTGATTCTGAGCAGATTTGTCACTAATTTTTGTAATTTTTCATTGAAAAAAAAAACAGGTAAAAAGACAAACACAAGTACAATTCCTTGACTGAAAATTATATATACACTGTATTCTACAAGGCATTTTTTTGAGAAGTTGTGAGTATATCACCTGTTGAGAGCCAAAATGCTACTGACATGTTGTTAAAGATATGTTCCATGTTTTCATTGTCCTCTTGACAAAACAGTATACAGTGGCAATAATACCCATTACACAAGGTGTCCTTCACTGATATTGCACATAAAAGTAGCAGTGCAAACAATATGGGGAATTAACTGGCAGACACACACACATTGCATCTACAGGCTTGATCGTACATGTGATAGTGCAATTGGAATGATACCTCATGTGCAACGAGAAGGGTTCAATTAGCAGATTAGGCCTTCAGACAACCACAACCATGACAAAACATCAGCAGGACAAAGCGTCATTCAAATGATTAAAAAGTTACTTTCTCTTCTAATACATGTTTGTTTAAGTGGTATTTGGTACAGTGCTTTCATTTGAGAGAGTGTCTCAATAAGCAGGGAAATTGGTGATTAATTAGGATTAACTTCACAGAGATTCATGATGCTCTTCTAGTGTCAAACAATGATATAGCAAAAGCCATAGAAAATTATTACTATGTCTCATCTGCTCAGAGTTAATAAAAGTGTTTTATCTCATATTTTAACACAGAGTTGATGCTCCACTATGCCTTGGAGCACCGATGAAAATACTTTCAGAAATTAGTGAGGCAAAATTGGGATGCTTTTTTCTTCCTTCATCTGCAAGTAACTTTTGTTTTAACTCTCCCTTCTTTTGTATACTCGAATTGCAAATACAAAGCTTTTATAGGGCCCCATTTCACAAAACTTGTCCTCAGTGACAAATGACAGTTTTTGTTATAAAAAGCTAGTGAAATCCTTGCTTCTGAGCAGATTTATCACTGATTTTTGTAATTTTTATTGAAAAAAGGCTTCGTGAAACAAGTCCCAGATCAATCTCTATGGAATGCTCTTCAGGTCACTCCCTTTGCATTGCATCGTTCTGCTAATAGGTAGCTTAGCAAAATATAGTGGCACTAAAAGACAAGTCCAGAACACAAAAGTCATAGTGGTTAGTGACATTTACTAATTATATGAAGGTTGTTACATATCAAAATGTAAGTTTAGGCAATAGCTTTATCCTTATCGAGGTAGTTCATGTATTTACCAGCTCATAGTTTTATGCATTTTGTGTTCTGAAAGAAAGAAAGAAGTAAGGTTGGTCTAAATGGGGAGGATGCTTGAGACAAGAAGAAGTGGAGGTAGGGAGTGCATCAGGGCGGGAAAGTCAGTAACCCCTTGTAAGAAGGAGAGTGCCTACTTTAATAAATGTTGATGATCATGATGAAGATGTGGAATCCTTCAAAAGAGGTAAAAAGACAAACTAAAGTACAATTCCTCCACGTTTGCAAACCTGAAAATTATACACACTGTAACTACAAAGTATGTTTTTGAGAAATTTTAGAGTATATCATCTGTTGAGAGCCAGAATGCTGCTAAAGGGTTGTTAAAGATATGGTCCATCTTTTCATTGTCCTCTTGACAAAACATTGATCCATGATATATCTAAAATTAATACAATTTTGAGTATCAAGAAGAATTAATCGATGGGCTGCTGTATTTCTCATTTCCATAGGCTTAAACATTTCCCATAAAAGTAATTTGTACAAAACAATGGGCATCAATTGACAGAAGGATTGCTTTGTGCAACACAAAGTGGTCTTGATTATCTCCATGACAAGACTTTTAACACAGGTATAGAGCAATCTTGCACTGGAAACCGTTAGATCTCTTGAAAGCTTTGGTATGTCCATCCCAAGATAAACACACGGTCGCATAGGGAGATTATTTCTGTTATATAAAAGAGTTAATACATGGACAACCCACTTCCCGTATGCAATGAGCTAATTACTGACTATCATGATTCTGGTGGTCAAAGTTAACTATGGAACTAAAGGGGTTGATTAACAAAACTAATCAATAAAACTGATCAAACACAGTAATTTGACCAGAATAGGGAGTGTTTGTTAATTAATTGGATACTGGATAGCTGGTTTATCTGAATGGGTTAGCCCTCTATAATCACTTTAATCATCTTTACAATTACCCTAGTTCTTTTCTCATACTACAATGCACACATTATAGGGGATTCAGTATCGTTAATATATTCACTTCCTTCAATACAGATGGTCTTAAATCACCATCTCTCCTTTTATTAACACAAAACAAAATATGATACAGCCATTATATAGGCATTCAATGTACATCTCTATGTATTGTGCATCAACAATTTATCAACACAATGTACAGGGTAGCCAAAAAGGACTGTTTTCCTCCATCCTTCATCTTTCATACTTTAACAAAAATTGAGTACTAGCAGCAGGACTAATAATAATAATATTTATAGTTCGTCCTTATATAGCGCATTGCAGGACCGCAGGCCATCTCAATATGCTTTACAGATATATATTATGTCCTTTCATTAGACATTATTATAAAACTGCCACTCTAAACCCAGGTAAGACTGGTATAGGAGGTTACTGATCAACTACTAACAGTGCCCTAGGGCAGATAAGCTAAAGCCACCCAAAAAAGACTAGTTTTCCTCCATCCTTCATCTTTCATACTTCCAAAAAAAATGAGTGCTAGCAGCAGGACTAATGTCCTTTCATTAGACATTATTATAAAAGCTGCCACTCTAAGGGTGCGTTTAAGCTTAAATTTTGAAGGCAGAATGAGCGATTTGTAACGCTCATCGTAATCGCAGTTCCACGGTGTACTGTTTATGCTCACTTCTCTGGCTCCTCCAGGCAATTCTCCCTGGGTGGCTCTAATTGGCATTGCAGCTGGATTTGAAAGCCTGCACTATGCATGCTACGTAGACCCACTAAAAGTCAGTGCGTTGACCCCATTTAAACGCGTTTACAAATTGTAAACGCATCTTTTTGTGAGTTTATGATCGGTGATCGTGATCGCCGTTTTTCGGTGATTCTACAAAAGTGAGAAAGGACGCAACTGTGTTTTAAACTAAACGCGTAACAGATGCCTGATTCTGGCCAGAAAAAGTTAAGTATAAACACACCCTATAACCCAGGTAAAACTGGTATAGGAGATTATTAATCAACTACTAACAGTGCCCTAGGGCAGATAAGCCATCATGCTTTGTACAAGCACCTGCAGCACCCACTGGGAATGGAAATGTGTGAAAATGATACAGTATTCTTCTTGTTTTTAGTTTAAATTTAGAAGGGAATATATTATAGGACATTATAGGGTGTTATTGAGAGAGAGAGAGAGAGAGTGAAAGATAGAGAGAGAGAGAGAGAGAGAGAAAGAGAGAGAGGGAGAGAGAAAGAGAGAGAGGGAGAGAGAAAGAGAGAGAGGGAGAGAGAAAAGGGGGGGGGGGGGAGGAGAGAAAAGGGGAGAGGGATGGAGAAAGAGAGAAAGAGAGATACATGTTAATGGTAACTATAAAAGGTCCATGTTCCACTGTAACCCATGGTTACACAGATGAAAGGCACGAGTTTATATTTCAAAGGATCATTAAAAATTGATGAAGTCTGCAAGCTAATCAGGCTAATTGCTGTGGCAATAATAAAGTAATGAATAATCCTAGGCTACTCAATTGATCTACACGGCCATGTATAGACCTAATCAATAGTTGGATGTCTTCACTTTCTAGATGATCAGGGATAATGAATCCAATACCACTTAATATTTGCAGAAAACACCCCAAAAGTATAGCAGAAACAATCCAATTATGAAGCCAATTACTATCATCATTAATTTTATCATTGGATATTTGGCATCACCCGTGCCTAGTGTAAGAAACCTACTTGAAAGTATGTTGAGATGGTGATATTGGATTTGTCCCAAGCCCATAGGATGGTTTGTGATAAAGCCTGGAGACTGGTTACTTCAGTGTGCGCAACATAGAACACACCATGGAAAAATGTTCACGTAAAAAGGTGTTATTATTCAAACAACAAACTGGTTTACAGGTTGATAACTAGAAATATGTTCAGTAATGTGTATTGTTCTTTGACAAAAAATATTCCAAGGTATGCATCATTTTGGTGGAAGATCAGCCATTTTCAGAAAAAGTAAGTCATGAAAAGAGATGAAATCTTGGGAAGCCATTTACTCAAATTGCAAGAGATGGATCAGTTCGTGTTAAACTCTTCTATGTGATCCATAGTCCAGTGAAGTATCAATTAGACACACAACTTCTGCTGGTATTATGATACACCTACCTTTGGTGTGAGTAGCCCATAGGGGAACGGCCCGTCTACAGGAGTCCGGATAAATGGAGCCTTTTTCCATTCCTCATCTATAGTGAATGATCTGCGACCGTAGAGCACATCTTTGATTCCCTGTCAGAGAAGTAGGATACATGTAGAATATATGGCAAGGGAGTGAATGTGCAGGGAGGCAAAGAAATCAATTGAAATGTTCATGACTGACATTTAACATCCCATTAGAGGGACTGAGTATTTTTTTACTGTTACCTGACCTATGTGGCTGTGTCTATGTAACACAGTAAAGGCATCTGCTTAAAACTTTAACAATTTTTTGTTGGTATACAGTCACTTCCAGGCAGCGAACAAAATAACTGGGAGGGGGAATTATAATAATAATAATAATAATAACCTTTTAAAGTCCACTCAAAATTTTATTAAGTTAAACCGAAAATGGAAATTCTTTTTGCCCAATTGATCATGAGCCCGTCAGCCACTGAGCAGCACCAGATCGACGTTGCTCTATCCCTTATTGTTGAACGCCAAACAAGGTAGCAGCAACACCCCTCTTTTAACGTATTTTGGTATGACTTGGCCGGGGTTCGAACCCACGACCTCCTGGTTGTGAGGCGGACGCTCTACTGACTGAGCCAACACATCGGATGGAGTGGAATAACACTGGAAAAATGTACCAGCATGGCAAAAACCAGAGATTGTGTGGAAAAATGTTGTAATCAACCTTTAAGCTGGGAGAAGATACTTTGCTAGTCTCTTAAAGCGCCTCTAAAGTGTTGGGAGCGCTAAATTCGCAAAAAAATTTATGGTAAAATTTCTCTTAAAATTGTATCGTAATGTGAAAGAGGATACCATTCAAGACACACTTCTGCAAAGATTCCCCCCCCCCCCTTTAAAAAAAAAAGTGTTTAAAGACAAATTTTGATAAAAGAATACATAGTTTGGGTTTTCTGCTGTACGCAGACAACCTACAATTTTGTATTCTTTCATCAATATTCGACTTCAAAAACATTTATTTTGAAAATCATTGCAGAAATGTATCTTAAGAGACATCCTCTTTCACATTATGATACAATTTAAGTGCAATTTTGCTATCAACATGGTGGGGCTCCCAACATTTAGAGGGACTTTAAAGAGCTCTAACCCTAACCCTATGGTAAAACAGATAATAAAATTCTTAAATATCATTGACATTGCAAGTAAATCATACTTTTACAACAGCAAATCCTAAAAGAGCTCCCTTGAAAAGGAAAGTATTTCTGACACTTTTTAGGGTAGATGGATTTTTCAAAGTGTATCTTACCTCAGCTGTTTCCATTGTGATGTCATCACCAGCTTTTGGTCCTTCTTCTTCTTCTGCTTGTTTCTTAGTCGGCTTTGTGCTCTTGAACTCCTCTTGGGATGTCTGCAGGAGATAGTGTACATACAAATTACATGAAGAATAAAACACATGAATCAGCTATATAGAGTGGTGAAGTGTGACATCATCAAAAATCAAATAACTCAGTGTTATAGTGCTATGATTCATAACTTTAGGAACCAGAGGACTATAACACTGAGTTCCCATAGGACATATATTTATTCAGATGGCCATATCTCAGCCAATACTTAATATATTCAATAGGTTTTTGACATTCGGACAACATTTTTTATGCTCTTTTGGAAGATAAAAACAAAATTGAGAAATTCTAAAAATAGATTTGTATGATGTCACAGCTTCGGTACTCTATTTGAAACAACCATTATTACAAACTCATGATAAGCCAGCCATCGTGTCAATTGACATCTTCAAATTTGTTTCTTAATACAATTTATTTTGTTCAAAAAATATTTTAGGCCTGTACACTTCTTCTGCTATATGATGATCCTTTAATACAACCTTCTTTTTTTAAAGCAATTTTCATATAAATTTCTCTTCGTTTGATAAGGCTATTAGCTCATTGAGAATAGCTCTAAATGACCCACCAATAATGCAAACGGCATAATAGTTAGTGATTTTGGTCAGTGAATTTGAAGTTCTTATTTGACATATTATAATCTGTGAATGGAAATTAAGACAAAATCAAGCATTTGAGGTACATGTCCATAGTCCTTGTACTTATCAGCTTCATATCCTAGTGATGTTGTTCTACCTGTATGATTTTCAATAAGTATGCACTTAGGCGCTCCAGACTCATGTTTTATTGCAACTTTACAATTTTTTCATTAAGCTATATCATTATAATTTGAATGGTATCACTTCATGTTGACTTTGTGTATGCATTCAGGGATGCCAGTTAGAATTGATCAGAAGGCCTGAAAATCACCTAGAATGAGCTCATTTTGTACACAAAAAGGCCTAAACTATGGTCTGCAAATAACTCGCCAGAGCCTGAAAACTGGCATCCCTGATGCATTATAGAAGGGGTAAATTCTGGACGTTGAAAAAAAGGGTATTTCCAAAAAGAGCAAGAAATTTAATGGAAAATGGTCATATATTTCAAAGAGGACCCAGTGCTTAGAATTGATTGATTTTGATTGATTTTTATTCGACAAGCTTCCAATATACAACAATATACAATAATAACAGATCAAAAATAAGTCAGCTTGAACAGGATAACCCACGAAAGCTCGAGAGCTTATTTCCAGTGGGGTCCCTTACAGACATGTATACAATTAATAAATTAAAATAGTAATATTTACAGACAGATAAGAAAATTAAAAGAACTACTTATTAAAGATAATAATAACAACATTAAACTGATGATAGAAATGATATTAAGTACAAGAAGAAAAAGAAGAAGGAGAAGAAGAAAAAGAGGAGAAGGAAGAAGAGGAAAATAATGATGAATTTGTAGAATTTCTATAACGTACGAAAACATAAGTATATACAACATGAAAAAGTATGAACCGACAGAAGAATAACAATTTCAATCATATAACATGTCATTCACTTCTCTTCTCTGACTGTCAAGTATTAGGTATTCCTTTAATTTCCTCTTAAAATGATAGAATGATAGAATGATAGAATAACAGAAGGCTCACGAGAACTGCAAAAAAATGGGCTATTTTCAGCTAACTTGTACATGTATTAGATAAGCCAAACATAGAGTTGTATTTAGAGCCTTTTTGGTACATTTTCAGGCAAATAAATGTTATATATTTGGGGAAATGCTCTTCAGTTTGTAAATAGGACTCTGCTACCAATCATTCGTCACCCCTTTGACTATGAAGCAACACCACTGGCCTTACAAACATCAAATCACAGTCTGATCTAAGGAAGAGTAGAGGACTGCATCAGATTAGAACTTCAGTACACCCATGTCTCTTCATAGATAAGACCAGAGATCTCATGTGTCCACAGTTTATTAAGGTTTTAGGCCTAAAAAAAAAGATTTTGTATTGCCCTTTAAGTGCCAAAACATGGGTCGGTTGGTCGGAAATTTTCTTTTTAACTCCCTCTTTGCACTTATATTTCTCAGTTTTGAATGCTTTAATACTTTTTTTTTCTCTAAAAAGCAGTTTTTTTTTTGTTTTTTTTAAAGCCGACAGTAGATTTTTACATTTTTTGGTCCGTCGCAAAGGACGATACAACATCTTTTTTTTTAGGCATTATTGCGAGTACTTGAGAATGAAATCTTACTTTAGGCCTTGCAGCAGATGCAAACAGGTTGTTAGGTGTGGTATTCTCTAAAGCAGCTACTAGTTTAAAGAGATCCATTTTGTTGTCTGAAGCAGCTGCGATCCCAGTCGCCATCTTGATCCAGTTTGAAGATCTTCTTTGATCAGCATGAAAAGACAACACACTCACTGGTGATGAGAACAGAACACAGGATGGATTCTGTCGAGGACAAAAGAAAACATAAAAGCTTTTACATTGTCTATAATGTAGAGGATGATGATAATGAGGGTAGTGAGGATGATAGTGGTGGTGGTGATAATGATGATGATAATGGTGGTAGCACTGATGATAGTTTAAGAGATGATGATAATGAGGGAAGTGGGGATGATAGTGGTGGTAATAATGATGCTGATACTAATGGTGGTAGCACTGTTGATAGTTAAAGATGATGATGATGATAATAAGGGTAGTGAGAATGATAGTGGTGGTGAATATGATGATAATGAGGGAAGTGGGGATGATAGTGGTGGTAATAATGATGATGATACTAATGGTGGTAGCACTGATGATAGTTTAAGAGATGATGATAATGAGGGAAGTAGGGATGACAGTGGTGGTAATAATGAAGATAATAATGGTGGTAGCACTGATGATAGTTAAAGATGATAATAAGGGTAGTGACGATGATAGTGGTGGTGATGATGATGATAATGGTGGTAGTGAAGATAAAAGTGGTGGTAATGATGATGATAATGGTGGAAGCACTGCTGATAGTTGAAGATGATGATGATGCTAGCTATGGTAGTGACAAATTACAATGAGAATGGCAATCAAGATTATGATGGTAGTGATGATGACAGTTAAAGATAATGACAACAATCACAATGATGATGATATTAAATCATAAAAGTGAGCACTATAGTGAGCACAACAGTCTGATAATGATGAGGAGGAGGAGGAGGAAAAGGAGGAGGAGGAGGAGGAAGAGGATCATGATGATGACCATGGTCATGAAAATAACAATTATAAAAGCTCAAAGCTCAACAATTGTTACATCAATTCATGGACAAAACTACCCCAACCCCCGAAAAAATTGCAACAAAAGCTTCTTCAACATTTTCTGTTAGTGTTTGACATCATAAACAACAACAACAAATCAAAGAAAATCTGACCCTGGAAAGTTGTAATTTTCAAATGTATTTGGAAGCCATCTGGCATTACCAGGGTTCCTGATGCCTGTAACCCATTGGAAGTGGTATGAATTGATTCTTTGACACCTAAAACATATGGAATGCACACCTAAATCACATTAATAGTAAGAAGTAAGTTGCTCCTGATGTCAAACACTACCTGATGCCAATGAAAAACATTTTGATGCAATTTTGGGCCCCAAAAACCTATAATGACTAAGACTACAATGTGACGTATGTGAGAAATTAAAACATGAAGCACAAGAAGAAAAAAATACTATAGCAAATACAGTACACCTCTTTAAAGAGAAAGTCCACCCTGATATTAAGTTGATTTTAATAAAAGAAGAACAATGAGAGAGAAACAAATTGGCTACGTCTTTTTGTTTTATTGACTGCACCTTCGAATATTCATATCTTTCTTATTTGTTTCATCTTGTTTTGCACAAAACTTTCGTTAATCCGTTTATCTCATATTTCTACTTCTTTTATAAAAACAAACTTGATATCAGCATGAACCTACTAAGAAGTCAATCATATCAGGGACTTCCCCTTTCAGAGCTCCAGTGAATTACTAATCATTTATAATCACAAATTTATATCGTTATTGATAAGGATACAAACAAATAATTCATGTACTATGCAAAACAAAGAGATAAATAGAACAAGAGATACAGGAAGACAATGAAAATTACTTTAATCGTATTTAATACATTTAGGGCTCACCGTTCGTTTGATCTAAAATATCCTCACAACAGCATTCACAATTTCAAAATAATTCCCATGACAACTTCCATATCAACAAAATGACCTGTCAAGTGGGCAAAGGCTGATCCTATTTCATCCTCTCTCTATCCCCAACAACTTTCAATTAGAGGTAGAAATGAAATATTCATCAGGCATGATAATAAAAGCAGATGAGGGGAAATGCGCTACCATGGCAACCATCAAACAAACGGTGGATTTGCACCCAGATGAAGCAAATATAACCTTAACAATGCAGATGATGTACAGGTCTGCCCAAATGAAATTCAATTTAGAAAATGATTAAATGATATATACAGTCCAATGTCATACCACCATATCAGACCTTTCAGTGGATATTGTCTGACGTGTAATGATAGAACAAATATGCAGCAAATTAATCAAGCAGCAATTCTATCTATACACATAAAGGAGCAGGTAGGGTTCATCAATATGATTCATGACTGGATGGAAATAGGCATGAGGGAATTTTTGTGTAAATATTTCATAACTTTGAAAATTGATTATGCAAAGAGCATCTATATGATCTCTAAAAAATTGATATACTGCAATACTGTATATGAACTCATACTGTAATATGGCTTGTGTATTTGTATGCATCACAACTGCAGAGCTACATACATGTACACACTACTCTTAGCTTACCTCTCTCTCTCCCTCTCTCTCTCTCTCTATCTCTCTATATCTCACCCTCTCTCTATCTCTTTTTTTCTTTCTTTCTCTTTCTATTTCTATTTCTCTTTCTCTCTCTCTCTCTCTCTCTTTCTCTCTCTCTCTCCCTCTTTCTTTGTCTCCTTCCTCATTTCTAGGTCTCACAAGCTCCTCTCTATATGCAAAGTTAGCTTGCATCTGATTTATGATATTCCATTTTTCTTCTTTTCTTAAAATACAACTCATTTTGGACCACCATCAGCATCAAATTGAACTTGCTGTTGGGCATTCACAAATCCTGATTGCTAAGTATTATTAGGTACATTTATAATAATCCAGTGGCCACAGCTAGGTCTACATTCATTAAATAATTCAAATTCATCAACATATTTTAGGTATGTAAAAAGAAGTTGTGTTTTCTTTTACTAAAAAAAGCTTTCTTGATTTAGAACAAAATACCTGACAAAGAAAATGAATGAATATGATTGGTTTGAATGAGAAAAAAAGGCCCCTATTCCTGAATGAATTAGAGAAAGGATCTTAGATGCTATATCTGGTCTTTCTGATAAAGAAATAGGTAGACTATTTTATCCCTCTTTCTCTCTAAGTAAGTAATATAGCTATCTTTCTCAATATCTCTTTAGCTTATATGTCTTTCTCTCTAAGAAGTAAGTACTGTCTCCAATTCATTTAAATTCAATAATGGTTTTATTTGACAACGCTTTGCAAGCAAAGGCTGAATTGTGCATTTTTCATAACAATTTCTGAATACTATTTCGCATTACATTGGAGTCGGACCATTAAACTTTCAAGATGAAGTGATAAATTATATAAACTAAAGTTTTTAAAGTCCATTATGTTGTTAATTTGTAAATATGAAATATTACAATAAAGAATAGACAAGGCTATAAATAATTTCAAATCCTAACTAGAATGGTAAAAGAAATGAGTCATGCCAACCACTGATTTCCTTTAATAACATATACTACTAAAGCCTATAACATATCAATACAATTTTTCTAGTACTACAAGAAACGTCAAGTTGTATTCAAATGAAAATAAAACTTTGGAGTTATGATACAGAGCAGACATAAAATATCACAAACTGAAATAATATTATGTACATGTATAGTTCAGTATAATATTGATGACATTTATTTCAATAATGTGGTTACAGGAGGTTTATACAAAAACAAATGTAGGTACTATCTTGGTGACATTTACTTTTTGACTGTCATGGATGGGTTTTTTAAAATGGGTCACATCTTATAAATTGGCTATGGATACAGTTGTTGCAATCAGATTGATTAAACAACAATAGATGGCCATGAGCATTTGAATATATATTGAGTTCTCATTTTGAGGAGTATACCCAAAGAAGTTGCAAATGATTTGGCTAAAATTATTCATTTATGTTCATTTAGGTAGTACATACATGTACATACAACCTAATAATTATCATTCTTAACGTCAGAGGTACGGTAGGGCTACGTACTACAGGTAAAAGGTAAGATTTTCTGCAAGTCACTCACACACAGGTCAAAATGTAAACACATGACCCTGTTTACACCCATGCTAGCCTAAGGGGGAACAACCCACTATTCAGACCGATCTGTCTCGCCATCTCTCCCCATTCTTTGCACAAGTTGCTCAACAAAAGGCAAACAGAACCTTTGATCAAAGGATCGTATTTATTGATTTTATGACCTCTTTTACCTCTGCTCCATCACAGCAATATTAGATAAAGGCAAAAAGACTGAATATGCGAGGGGCTTATTACAATACAATACTAGGGATGGAGATAAAATTAACAATGATTTAATCTCTACTCAACAGACAAAATGCACACAAAGACAATCAAGGTCAATTATGATCAATATTATTTTGTCTGCAAAAAATAAAAGACAGGTTTGCCCACAGCACTGAATACGATGAAAAATGTCATGCAATTCAATGTTAGTTTGCTCATTCAGAATTGAAATTGGTTACTCATTTTGGCTCAGAAATTGATGTGTTACTAGTTTAACTGAAACCCCAGAAAAATAAAAATGAAGCAGGGGTGAACTGATAGAATTAAAAACTCTAGGTTAGGTATTATTGAAGGGGAAGTCCATCATCGTAGTATAATTGGTTTAAATACAAACAAAAAAAGAGAGAAAAAGATAAGTACAAGTTTTAGCAAAATCATGAAATAATAAGGAAGATTTGAAAGTTTTAATTTTTGTTTTGCTGTGCTGTGTCACATCTTGGGAGTTCCTCTCCTATTTGCTCAGTATAACACCAGACAACCTTTCTTTTAAATTTCCACTCTTCTTCTATATTTAAATGAATTAATATAATTTCATTTGTATACTGTTGTGTAGATACATTCAGCAATTATCTACATGTAGCTGTAGGGGGGAATCCTAAAGTGTGACTACATTATATTTGTTATAGAATTACAGAAAAAGAGAGAGTAAATGAAAGTTGAAAATGCAATTTTAAAAAAATTGAAACTTCTACAACAATTATTTTTAGCCTAATATTTACTAAGTTTAAATTGCATGGTTAACGTACTTAACAGGTATAGAATAACAACACTCAATTCACCTGAACACGTCTGATATTACGTGTATAACATAGAACACTCAATTGGTACCTGCATGAAGACTATTATTTAGCTTACATTTATGGCCATACATACCAAACTGTCATAATATCGCCTCCGGTAGGAGAGGGCGGTTGTTGTGTGACAACCTCCCCGAAGATGGGGCACAAAGAAGGCCAGCTATTCGATGGAGTTGTCGGAGAGAAGTTTTCGCACACAGTTCGATCTGGTTAATATCTCACGAGATCATCATTCTGAATCCATTCACATCATGTATACACAACCTATAGTTAATATCTTAGCAGTTAAAAACATCCTAATAATACCTTTCCATGTAACTGCATAGTATACGGATAAAACTTTTTCAATTGTAATACGCCGACATCCCTGCTTGCGAATCGCAATACTCTCAATAATCTCTTCTGCTGAGGAGAGGAGCGAACCACCGATCGTGCACAGTACAGGTGAAGAGCCGGTATGGCGAATCAGCCTATAGTCTCAAAACACAGACTCTATTAAGCTCGAGTCAATATTATCTTCAGCAGAGCCTAGATCAGTCTCTGTCAAATAAGCAGGGGCGGCGATTTCTTTTCATGGCCGGGGGCCCAACTTTTTTGTTTTCTCTTCCCGAAAATTTGAAAATCGCGCCGTCCGAAAAGTCGCTCAGTGGGGGGAGGGGGGGGGGGGGGGGGGGGGGGGGTAGTGAGCACAATTTTTTTTTTTTCTTTTGGTCCTCGAAAATTTTACCTCAAAAAAGGTAAAAATCACGTGATTTTACATGATTTTTTTTCTCAAGGGGCGGTGCCCGGGCCCCCCTAGATCCGCCACTGGGGAGGGGGCGGGCGAAATGCGATGGACGAGGGAGCACAGTGAACGATCGAGAGGGCGAAGGTGACGAAAGAGAATATTTTCTACAATATTTACTTGTATATTTTAAAGGATATTATGCGAGGGAGCGTAGCAATCGAGCGACAAGATTTTTTCATTTTGGTTAGTATATTACGCTACACTCCTGGGTCCTCCAGAGCCTAAAAGTGTGTCACAGTTTTTAGTCAGTATTCGCTACACATTTTTTTCTTCAAATTTTCCGGGGGACATTGAGGGAGACGTGTCTCCCCCCCCCCCCCCTCCCCCAGTGATCGCCGGCTCCTTCAAACAAGACAACCAGCAGCCATACAGGGTCTATGATCTATGTAGTGAAGTAGCATGCATTTGTGTTAGGTCCATGGCAGTATAGACTGTGCAGTAGTATTCTCTCATAAATGGTAATATAATTTGCATTTCATTACTTTTCTTCATGGTGAGGTATTCTAAACTTTTATTCTGTGGGCCTGAAAACCTGGGTATAGACACCAAAATAAACTTTCAATAGCCCTCCAATCCCAAGATATAGCCAAAATAATTATGGCATATAGTACCGTACAGGGCATCTTGTTAACTCTAATTCATGTTGCCATGGTAACAATGGGAATGTACTATATAGCATATTCTTGGCTTATATGATGTATTAGTCATATAGTTGTGTCATTATTTTGGAAAGGGGACTTTAACTTGTCTTGAATGAGTATATTGTGTAATATATTACTGAAATTACTCCAAAATCCTTGATTTTAGGCTATTCTGGGGTCGTTACCATGGCAACCGTTATAAATGGTGATGTAAATTGCATTTCATTGCTTTCCTTTATGGTGAGGTATTCTGAACTGTACATTTTTACGCATCCAAAAGTGTTTTTATAATTTTTAAATGACTTTAACTGTTTCTTTGAATAATACCGGTTTTAGTGTAGCGTTGCCATGGAAACTGCTGATTATATGACTAAGCTGCCAGTCTGGAAATGCTATCATATCAAAATATTATGTATAGATATAGGGCATTTCAAAATGCATACGTAGATCTTGCCACCTTGAGTGGTACCAATAACCCAAATTTCTGGTCTTGGCCCATGGACTAATAATCCAGATAGTCTGTGTAACGCATTACGACTGACATGGGTCTGCATCTGCAGACTAATCAGCCTGCAAGATGAGCGCATGATCGTCGCGTCGCCTCTAGTATAGTGTTGGTTGTGAATATTGCTACGCAGACGGCTCCAACAGGAAAATGGTGGTCACATAAATTGCGGATTCTAAAGAAAACTTTAATGTTAAAAGCGATTTTTGAACAGATTGAACACTTGTTTTTTCAATTTAACTAAAAAACTTCCTTCCTATGACTGCTAGAGAATATGCGATTGAACAGAACCCATGCCAAAGACCCCACCTCACCCCGATCGAATGCGATAAACACAAATTGGCTGAGAGCGTGAGGAGAGATGACAGAATAGGAAAATTAATGTGAGATAATAATTATAATTTATAAGGACATAGATTGCTCCAAAATGCTCTTTTTAAAGGTTATAATATCAGTTGAATCCCACTAACGATGGAACAACATGATAAGTATAATCTATAATCTGTTGTGAGAGGTGTATTACCATAAACCCCAACTTGGTACTACTACTAGAGGATTTTTGACAATAGTGTTTGAAAAAGCCTGCTTCTCAGTCACCCGTGGCAGCAGAATTATGAATATTGTCTCAAAAGACAAGGTATGTGTTACCCCTTACTATGAAATATGATTCAATGTCAAATAGGTTATGACTTGTTAGAAATAGAAGCTACCAAGCTACGTATTGTATAACTGCCTTGAGCGTTAGAAACACACTCTTCTAAGGACAATTTTATACAACAAAGGGTTGTAATGGGAGCCACTTTTATCTTCATGGATGGGGCCCAGGGGCACCTGCAGGGGATCCATCCCTTCCAATTCATTTGCGACCCGTTACTCGGGGTAACAATGTTTAAAATATTTGTATTTTTGTTTTCTCTCCCCCTCTCTCTCTCCTTTTCCTAACTTCTCTTTTACCTTCTTTTCTCTATCTTTTGTTCTTTTTTTCTTCCGATGTTCTCTCTTTACCCCCTTTCTTTTAGGCTGCTAAAGGGAGGGGGCATTCGGCTCTCACCTGGATCCGCCAATTATGGAGGTTATGTAACTCTTTGCTGTGGTGTCGGACTTGATGTCGTGACGGGATTAATAATTACAGATAAATCATTAGTCGCATCGATACGTAGCAGGTAGACATTCACGAAATTCAACCATTTAAAGCAAAGTAAAATGTGAATTCGAATGAGTGACCATGATATAATAGATAAACGAATGGTATTTTGTTGCAGCTTTAATGATTGGCAGTTTTACAATTGAATTGCATAGGAATTACACAGATTGAAAAAATATATATTGTAAAAAATAATATTTAGTTAAAAATTAGTTTAAACGTGTCATGTTACTACTGCCAAAATAACATAAACAATTAAAAAAAAGTTAATGAAAGAAAAATGTATCGACATAATTATATGCCCCGACAAAATTATATAACAGTTCTTCATATATCAATATTGTTTTTGTGGGTATAGTGGGAAAATAATCAAGGTTAGCGCAAAAGCAATGGTATGAACAAATGAAAAAGGAGATAAGGAACGAGAAATGATTGGTAAGGGAGATAAATACAATTTATTCAATGCTTGAGCGATGGACATTTAGTGGTATTCGAAATAATTCTAAAAAGTAAATTTTTTATTTTGTTGTATTTTTTAGCCCCCCCCCCCCCCCCCCCCCCCACAGTAGGGCGTTTTATTGAATAATAGTGCAGTATACATCTGTCTTCATAACAACAGCTATTGAGTGATAATACCAATGACTGGATGCAACATCGAACACGTAATACTATGACACATACCGGGTATATATGCCACTGATAGTAATTTTACAAATTTAATAGTAAATACCAATTAAATATCATAAAAACATATTGATACAATATGCAAAATAATTAAAAGAATGTACACGTATCAAGACAATGAAACGATTAATTATAACGATGGATATAAAAACATGAGCAAATTAACTTGTATCATACAGGCGAATAAAAATAGGGATAGGACTATTTCAAAATGAGGGAGAATATTAATTAAATTATGAAATGTTGATAAACATTTACTACTTCCCAATTGAAACTAGTCAATTCGTTGTCCAACGTCTTGTAATGTACATCTTGTCATGAAACATTCAATAACTTTAGCAAAATGTTCGGTCAAAGATATTGGTCGTAGTTTATCAATACTTGGTGGACTTGTTTATGGAATCCAAACATCAGGAACCTTTCCACAGTTGCAGGAAGCGTTGATTATATGAGTCAATAGGGACTTTTAGATTCGCACGAAGACAACGGGGATTGCTACGATCGACGTCCTTTTAATGCACTGCCTTGAATGGAAGTCACACGTATCAGTCCACGCAAATCTAAAAGTCCCTAATGGCTCTGCAAGTCACAGGGAGAACTGGCGGATGAGCCGTGCACACATGCCATCCGGGCCACTTGAAGTTGAACTTTTAATTTGAGAAAGAGCTCTGTCTATAACAGAGAAAAACGTGTTATTTTCAAGATTATTTTGCTATTATTTCACTGTATACATGGCTCTGCCCCACAGTATAACGTCGGCTTGATTAAGCATTTCTTTCCTTCTAGACAGCTACGTTCTCAAAACTCTGGCTTACTTGTTACTCCTAGGGTTAAAACAAAGTGGGGGGAGCGAACCTTTGCTCATTATGGAATACTCTCCCTCAATGGATTAAGAATAGCAGTTCTGCTGAAGTGTTAAAAAACAAGAAATATCTGTTTAATTTAGCTTATAATTTATTACCATAACCTTTCATGTTTGTACCTTTCCTATCGCACTTTGTATAAATGTAGCATGTATGTATTTCATGATCTTGCACAAGCTGCGCCTTGAGCATTTGACTGTCAAGTGGATTTGGCGCCTAAAATCATATGTATTATTATTATTATTATTATTATTATTATTATTAGAAAAGACAGATACAAAATGATCATTGACGCACACCTCACGTTACAATATTAACGAACTTGAAGTATCTGAGTCACTCAACCATAATTATCATTAACGGTTATAAAGTAGAGTTTATCATCACAGGCAAAGGCAAGCTTATCTCGAGACAGAGACACAAGGCAACACCATCCATGCTGCAGAAGAACTAGGCTCGATTCCTTAAAGTTTACCATCTCCTTAAGCTCCAAGCCATCAAGAGCATAACAAATGATCTTCACTTTACCAGACTCACAGTCAACGCCTGCCACATACACCCTGTCTTCCCGGTCCACAGCAGCGTAAAGACAGACATTCTTTGGAGCTTCTACAGGCTTCCCAGCGTTACCATCCCTGTCGTACACGACCACTACATCCAGTTCTCTGCTACGGGAACAACTTGCGACGATCAGACCAGAACTTGTCGCAGATGCTTGAAGCGTTACACCGTGCTTTGTTTGGACGGTGTGTTTTACCTTGCTGCCGGTCGAGTCGTAAATGTATACGTTGTTTGTACCGTTAACGATGATTATTTCATCCGACGGGCTCCTGTTTAACGCCAGGACGTATCCAACACTTGCGATGGTTATCGTGGATTCCCAATAACCCTTAGCGGAATACATGCGCACTTCTTTCTCGCCAGTCGATGCGTACAATGTACCGTCTTCTTGAAACACCAGGTCGCGACACTCTGTACCCGGCGGGATTCTGGTATACCGCTTCGTATTCCCTGCTGAATCAATGATGTCAATGCCATGGTGATCACCCCAGTATCCTATGGCGATGCTCTCCCTCGAAAATGTTGTAATGCCCCACACCTTGCCCAACAGATTGACACACCTCGTGATGTTTAACTGGCTGTACTTGTGGAGTGCATTCAGTGTTGTTATGTCGCCAAGTGTTAGTGTGTTACTATCTCCTGATGGCTGAAATGTCGTGTTCAGTGCCTTTTCGGCAACTGCTGCCAGAGAAGTTTTATCTTCACCATTCTGCATCATGTTCTCTAACTCCTCGCAGAGCAAGGTATGAGTAGACAGACTGTTCGTCTCAAGACAACCGAGTCTGCAACTGCTAACCAAAGATATCGCGCTGCACATACTTCTGATTCTCTGCCGATCACTCTCTTTCAGGGAGTTGAGATCTTCAACCAAATCTTGCTCTAACGCATCTATTTCCTCAACGAGAACTTGGTGGTTTACTTTCAGCTGCGTGGCCTTCTCGTGGTACTCATCATTAACAGCTTGTCTGAGTTTCCCCAAGGAGATACGTACTTTTGGTCGTTGCAACGCAGTGCATTTTATATTTTTCTGCAGCTGTGCTTTCTTCATCGCAGTGCGCTGACTGAGGTTATTAACTTTCTTCTGCAGCTCACCCTCGAAGTGATCTCTCTGTTTTAGCGTATGATCACGGTGGTCGATTACGCACTTTAGACAAATGTATCGGGCACAATTCTCGCAGAAGATGTTTTTACTTTCTGATACGTGTGTCGAGCAAAACCTAGATGGATCCTGCCAACTTGTTAAACTTCCGCCATACAATATCATTTCCTCAACGGAAATTACTGTGTGGCCTCTAAAGACGTTCAAATGTTGATGACATTCCAGGCATTTTTCACACATGTGTTTGTTGCATGAACTGCACAAACACATGACTTCTCCATGAAATTGACAAGCAGTGCACTTCAGACGAGTCGCAATGATGGCATTAACCTCTCCACCATGGCCGTCATACTCGTCGATGAGTCCATTGACGACAGGACTGGAAGGAAGGTCTTTGATGCGATTTTCGGATAACTGTGTGAGCTCTTTGCATTGAGGGCATATGAGATGGTCCTTGTTTGGAAAGGATCCATCGTACCTTTCCAAGCACATTCTGCAGAATGTGTGTCCGCAAGAAAGGGCTGTAGCATCGTTGATCATGTCAAGACACAGTAGACACACCAGACTTTGTAAACATGGTTCAGTCTTCGTTTCTTCTGCCATTAACGACGTAGTGTTTCGCAGATTAGCCTGTATGGGATAAAAGTATGATTCGTGTTAATCATTTTCCTACCATGCTTGTAGCTCTGGGAAGTCCTTATTTTGATATACGTCTTCTTCTTTATGTTCCAATACAAAAAAAATGCCACCTCCTCTCTTAATAACTTTGTTTTCTTTATTGTATTTGTAAGTCACTTTGATTAACTCTCGAGACCAATAGACCCTATTGAGGGGACTGGGAAAAGCTACTACTCAAACGGCGACAGCACATCAAACGTAGCATGCTGTATGGCAATAAAGTAGATGCTATCGATAGGTACATGCAATGCACGACGAAGACACTGCTCAACAATGCCTTTCAACCCTGTTCAGTAAAAATCATAATAATATTGCGCTCTTTCAGACTTGACACACCTAGCGAAACACAATAACGAGAGAAAATGTTACACAATTGTTGAAATGAATAAGACAAAACTGAAGGTTGGACCACTAAAAGGGAGAAAAGTGAAATATGAATAACAAAATAAGTATCATCGAGTGGTAGTGTGTCCATGCAAATTCGATATCAGAAATAGGAAAGGAAATGCAAGTTTGTTTATTCAATCAAAAACTTATTAAAGACATGTTTTATATTCACGAAATGATTGCATGCATGTTATGACAATGCGTGTGATAATGTGAGGGGATACTATTCATCATGTTTATATGAGGTCGAGCTAATGCCTAATGCCTATTGATTTGTTTGTCTAAAAATGATGAACGTTTCATATACCCAGACGTTGTGTGTCCAGACAGGTTGTGAATCCGGACAGTTAATTTAAACTACGAATTTCAAGAAAAATACAGGCAATATTATATTTCATTAATCTTATAAGATTGATGTTAGACAATATTATAACGAACCAATATATTCATGAAAAATTGCGTTATTTGTTGCATATTTTTTGTTAAAATCCCGAGGCAAAAGTGACGACTTCAAGTTCTTTTTGTTAAGCGTCCGGACACACAGCCCCCATTATAATGATATATGATTATGTACAATTAGTGGGTATATCATACATTCATACGTCTCTACGATATGCATTGTTCATTACTTAATACCATGATCAGCTTCATGAAGATTGATGGAAAGTGTTCGACAAATAATTGTATATACCTACCATGTTTAGCTTGAAATAGATAGGATGATACTGCTAACTCCATATACATGTATCAACCACTTAGATAGTAATTAATGTACAAGCCTGTATACCGTAGAACAATGTTTCGTGTTTGTGAAGCTCTAGAAATAGAACCGGGTTTTCCCAACATATTAACCTTTGACCTTATATCAGTTGTGCTGCATCGAGACCGGGAGGTATAAGCATAGACCCATGGAATGTATAACTTCTAAATAACCACTAAAGGCTCGCTTTTTATTGCCGGGTTTTTATTTGTTTGTTTTTACTGTTTGTTTTTGGTATGTGCGTGTGTGTGTGTGCGTGTGTGCGTGTGTGTAATAATTAAGATCGAGACTGCTATGAGGGTTTGTTGATGTGCCGTATTTGCAGCAAATGTTTAAGAACAGCAAACTAAATCGGGCACCATCCTATCTCCTCTTTCTTTTTTTCCTTTTTTTTTGGGGGGGGGGGCCCACTCCAGGAACGGAGGGACCGTATGCGTGTTCCCAAAATCTCCGGCTCGTACCAAAAGAAAAAGATCTGCCCGTATTGACTTTACAAACCGGACTTATTCCGAAAAGGGGGGGGGTGCTGAAAAGGCTCGTATTACAAAAAAAAAAGATCTACCAGTATACACACCGGACTTATGCTGAACACGCATATGCGTACCCTAAATAACACTGAGTGGGGGGGGGGGGTGGGGGGGGGGGGGGGCGGGGATGCAGGATATGGGCACGTTCCCCAGGTACCCACTCCCTCCAATCCGCCAACAATTCGCACAAAAATCATAGATAGGGTCCATACTGGACTCTATAGAAATGTATTTAGAATATTTTAGCGATTGTCGAAGTGTCAATGTATTTTTCCGAGTGTTTGAAGGAAATATTTCGTTTAAGACATTACACGTTTTTAAACAAAAAACAACGGTCATGTATTTTGTCCCTTTACTACACAAGTTAATCTAACCCTGATTCTGCAAACTTCATCATCAACATCAGTATCTTATCATTAGATTTATTTCATTGCATTCATTATTTTTTCCGTTGGTGCAATGAAATGCTTAGTAAATTATTTATAGAATGAATCAACAACTCCAAGATGAATATCATACCCAAGATTTAGACTAAAATATTCAAAAGACATGGCCTTGAAGTGGATTAAAAGGGTTAATAGGATAATTATACCAGCAACAGTCCGTCATTTTCTCACAATAAAACCATGCAGATTAACTACACGAATGACAGTCACATGTGTGATGAACAGTATACAAATATCGACTGCTTTGAGGGGCATGGTTAAGAATATTGACTTATATAAGGTGAACTGGAAAGTGAACTCTCCGAGAATATCAAATTCAATTGACCATTTTCGTCATGTTATCAAATTTAATGCAAAAATATTTGTATTATTCACCTCATACGAATAACAATATTCCAATAGTCAGAATGCGAACTGCATCCATTAATTGTTGCTAGGTAGGACTAACATGGTATTTCCTACCTAATAACACGTAATGTATTCAATTTGCATTCGGTCGACTGAAACACAATTATTCGTAAATGAAATAATTTGTAATGAGGCACCTAACAAAGATGTGTGCATTAAAATTGATAACATAACAAAAATGGCATATTAATAATTTACGTTCCATTTGGTACATCCACATGCCATAAACGATCATCCTCGGCAGAACTACATAAATATATTTAAAAAAATATTAATAAAAATCATTGAGAAAATAAAATCAACAACAGAAACAATAGACTTTCCTTTCTCTACTTCCAGACATGTGGAAATTCAAGGCCAGCCGTTTGTCTGCTTTCGAAAGGACACTGGTTCAAAGTCGGGTTTAACGAGGGAAAACTTAGCCTTGGTTAACTGAATCAGTAAAAATGATGACCGTTGCTGTAATTATAGTTATAAAAAGGATGAGCTATGAATGAGGATGAAGAATTCATATAGTAAGATAAGTTACATAACTTCTAACCTATATCCTGACGTCATGCGCAATATAAATGATGATGACAGGCGCGGATCCAGGATTTCTTAGGGGAGGGGGCCCAACTTTTTTTTTTTTTGCTCCCGAAAATTTGAAAATCGCGCCGGCCGAAAAGTCGCTCAGTGGGGGGGGGGGGGGGGGGGGGGGGGGGGGGGGGGGTAAAGAGCACAATTTTTTTTTTTTTTTTTTTTTTTTTTTTTGCTCCCGAAAATTTGAAAAACGCGCCGGCCAAAAATTCGCTCAGTGGGGGGGGGGGGGTAGTGAGCACATTTTTTTTTTTTTTTTGATCCTCAAAAAAATTTCAATTTGCACCCCCCCCCCTTGAGCGCCAGGGGGGGGGGGGGGGGCCCAACCCCCAAAAAAGGTAAAAATCACGTGATTTTACATGATTTTTTTCTCAAGGGGGGGGGGCCCGGGCCCCCGGGCCCCCCCCCCCTGGATCCGCCACTGGATGATGACGTCACATTGTTATCAACACCGTGATAAACCTATCCATTATCCAAATATTTTGAAAAAGATACAATCGTCACATATAGATAACAATCCTCTTTAAAATGTATAAAAATGGAATTAAACAATGTTCAGCAGCACAGAGTGACTAACCTGATTCGGTTTCGGCATAGTGGTAAGTATCACAAAATAATGAAATATCTCTTCCATCGCTTGATATAATTTGTTTTCAAATGTAGCTTCTATACCATGAGTATTATTAATACTGCTCTGTTTATCCTCAATTTTTAAGTATTGAAATAAAATTCAATTTCTCTTCCTACAAAATTACTCGATTAACCTTGTAAAGTTGATTATAAAATCCCTCCTTCATCTCATATTGATATTACATGCAATAAATTGCTTTAAATATATTATGGGCAAGTTGAAGAAGAAAAATCAAATCGAATACAAATTTCTTAACTACGATTTGTGCATACTTCTGTCCACATGTCAGACATACCTCGGTCAACCATGCTCAGTTACCTGGCACTTCTCTGCGTGTTTACCAACCTGGTGGTCGCAGTCCCCACTGGGGAGCTTCCCGACATCAATGATGACCTACCCGACATCACCGACGGCGAACCATTACCTACACCAACCGGTATTCGAAACTTCATCGGAGTGGGGTATAACATCATCGATGGGAACCCTGAAGGGGGTGATATCTACCTAGGAGGGGTAGACCCAGGGTTACTGGTTACCAGACCCATCCTCAAACTCACCTATGAGGAGAACCAACTCACATCGGATCGGGAATATATCGTGCCAGATCAGGTATTTATTTAGGCCTAAAATAAAAACTTGTTGTATTGCCCTTTGGGTGCCAAAACATGGGTCGGTCGGTCGGAAAAGTCTTTTCTTTTTTTTTAAAACTTTTTTTTGTCGCCCTCTTTGGGCCGATATTTTCAGATTTTAATGTTTTTTTTTCTTTCTTTTTCCCGCCCTCTTTTAGCTGATATTTCTCAGTTTTTAATGCTTTAATACATGTGCTTCAGCGTCATCATTCCATTGATATCTTTTTCACCTCATAATTATCCATGGTTTGCACGAGTGAGAATTTCGATATTTTATTTACATCTCATTTAAACAAACAAAATACATATATTTTATTCATTACTAAAAAAAATATAGAAAACGGTTAAAAAAAAATAATTAAAATGCCGACCGTAGATGTTCGGATTGTTGGGTCGGTCGCAAAGGGCAATACAACAAGTTTTTATTTTAGGCCTTATGGTAGAGCTTCTTTTTTTGTTAGTTTCTGAAATGTTTCTGAAATTACGTCGCAGGCCACTGAGTATTATATTCAGTAATGCCAATAGTCCAGGATCGGTATAATAATTTGTAAAACACCCCTACACTGCCAATTAATAATTTTTGTGCTGGATATAATTATTAATTTTGTTTTTCAAAAGGCGGTAGCAAAGGCTGTATAGATATACAAAAAAGTGTGATCGACTAATCATTGTTTTGTCAGGCTGGCCATTAATATTTATGAAATTATTTTATTGTTTATGCAGGTGTGGATATTATGTAAATTACCCCGATCCCCTTCCCCTCTTATAGTATTCAATGTAACAGATATTGTAATAGAGTTTTCTTGTTCGCTTATAAGCTACAAAAAGCTTTCTACAGGTGTACCTTCTACAGCTCTTCATTCTTATGGTTTATATTGATTCATTTTGCCTTATTTCAATATGTTTTTATATTAGTGACCTGTGTGTATTGATATAATGCGCACATATTAATAATAATAGTAATCAGCTTTTAAATAACGCTTAATACACCTCGGACGTCTCTAAGCGCTTTACAGCTATACTATTATCCCGGCCATTGGATTCAGAACTTGCCCGCACACACTGTGAGCACAATCTCCACTCCCTGGGGAGCATTCCAGCCAGGCGTGACTTGACGCTCAAAAACTGTTTGACCAACAATGACGGTCGCATCCTACCGGGTACCCATTTTAATACCTGAGTGGAGAGTAGCAAGTGTAGGTTAACATCTTGCCAAAGGATATTAGTGCGGTGTCGGGATTCGAACCCTCGACCTTCGCATCTCCAGTCAAGCACCTTAAACCACTCGACCACGATACTCCCACATAATGTATGTTATCTTAGTGGAAATAAACTATGGCTTTGAACTGACTTTTACTATCCAGGTTTTATTTTCACCTCGGTCTAGCTGTGTAACTACCGAGACTCAACAAACCTTCTACGGTACAGAGACATACGTGGAGAAAATATCAGTAGACATGAAAGAATCAGGTTTGTTTTCTGGTCACCCGACATTTTCGTTATTATCTTATGGCAAGAAATTAAGCCTCATTTGCCACTCCCCACCCATGTGTTGAATTTGCTCAGCCTTGTGAGCGTCTGTAAAATGAAGAATGTGTATACAGTGTTTCCGGGTAGGGACTGGGGTAATAGCCTACCTGTAATAAAGCATAATATTATATTTTATAGGGTTAGGGTAAGGGTAGCCATTGAGTTGGTAGGTTAGATTTAGGTTTAGGAGTAGTGTTAGGTATAGTATTGGGTTCAGTGCTGATATGAAAATGATGTTAGTGTAGACAAATGTCCATGAGCAACCATGTCTTCCATCCAATTTCCGGTTTATAGATATTGGCTAGTATTCATTAAACCGAATTATAGGATGTATTTGGAGAGGAGTAGTCCATGTGGTGATTCTCTCAACCTCTTCTACCCTTGCAGATTAGTATAATAACTATGGCCTAGATATGAATAAAATGAACAAACAGAATCACGCTACTTTAAAATCAATTTCAGTTTTTCATTTCACAAATTAATTCACTTCGGTGATTCGTACTAAACAGGATTACAGTCATTTGCAATTAGCAACAGGTTGATACTTAGATGCTGCTTATAAGTATCGGCTTGCGGTTGCACCATGTGAAATAGGGGAGGATTGGGGAGTCCTGAAAAGGACTCTCGGTAATCTTTCGGTTGATACTTGATGCTTTACAATTCAATGGACGAAGATAAACCAGGGTTAACAATTAGTTCACGTGTATGAATGACTACGAGGCCGTCATCCATTTCCAGCCTAAACGCCCACGATGGCGGTCTCCTGCGTTCTGAAATTTATCTCTTTAGTTCAATGAAAATATATACAAATATCCATTATACCTGTTTGTATGCTTTGTACTATAGCTATTGTATACTATTGTCAAACATGATTAGCTATGTATGGTATACTTATGCGAAAATGTATAACCTTGTATTTGTTATTTGAACGCAGAAATAAAAATTAATCAAACAAACAAAATACCGTTACATTTTGTTTAGCTTCAGTCTTCTGTTATGTCAGGTATGAAATTCGTTTTAAATTCATCAAAATAATTTATGATAATTTGCATCACCCAAGACTTTCAAATACATGCCTCTGGTCAATATTTATTTCATGCTTAAATAACTTTTTACTTTGCGGCACTGCACTAGACGCCACGCAAGCCGGTCAGCATGGCCAACGTGGGTAGCCGTGATTTAATTTGCTCTGACTTTGATAACATAAAATATGATAAAAGATTTGAGACTTATGAAGCATCAAAGTATTTATTTGAATTGTTTTAATACAGGTCGAGTTAAGACAATCTTCAGCAAGCACAAGTTCTCCAAAAGCTCACGTAAGTTTTATGTTTAAGTACATTTTTTAATAGAATATAATTTTTAGCTTCTCCATTTTTATTTTACCACCGAGTTACCATTAACCATGGAGCGGAGAATTCAAATTGAATTCAAATTTACCTACCGTATCACGAAATTTTGTGAAAGAAAACGAAGAAAAAGCAGACATATTTTTCAATTTTGTTTTTGTCAATTCATAGAAATTAGGAAAATTATGTTTTAATATTCAAACTGTGTTGCCGGTTAGGGCTTTACTACTCGACGCACATATCAACGACGTTATTCACGTTTTTGTCACACAACATATACTGTATTTCATGAATTACACTAGTTTATTAAATGGTATAAATCACTTTATTTTTGGTAATGTGTACCGCTGGAATGTAAAATCTACATCCAAAAAGGTTATTTATGGGCTAACGGATAAGAAATATGAAGAAAAATATAGAATCACACAGCTTGGCACCCGGAACATACGTTGGACTTACGTTCAATGGGGGCCCTATTTAAGTGAACGAGTTGGGGTGCGTCCAGTAGACTACTCGCAAGTTGCTTTTATTTTAATTGTGAGCTTATCTCTTTTCACAAGTAATATTTGAAGCTCTTATTTAAATATATTATTACCATATGGAACTCCTAACAAACAAAACAAAATACTTTCAGTTATTGGTGGCATTGTTGTCCCCACCCCTAACCTCTGGAACCGCCTACATAATATATTCCGATGAAACATATTTGTAACACTGTGAGTGAGCGGGGACTTTACTCTCTCGCAAACATAGCGATTTTGTGCTCTTATATATAAGAGCAGAAATTTGTTGCGACAAACTCTTACTAATAACTATATAGTAGCGAAATATGTAATAGCGAGTTAGATCTTTACGGCTACTGCGCTCTCCTATATAAAAGCAAAATTAAAATAGCGACGAGTGAGCGTAGGACCAAACCAAAGGAATTGGAGGGCACTTCGGATATGAGGCGCTAACCTTCTTTTTTCTGGCTTACATTTTAAGGTGATCAAACCCTCTGAACATGTTGACACTAGATTAATTTCAATTTCCATCTCATCACTTTACAGGCTATGAGGAGATCAATCGTGGAGTCGAGAAAAACCGTTACGTGTATTACGAAGATCGTACAGTGTGCAACATGGGACAAGCACGTTATCGTAGTGAGCTCGCCATGTACGAGCAATATCCTCTCGATACTGGGTTCGTCTATTCGGCTTGTCATCTGCCACTTACATACGACGAGGAAACCTACATGCAGTTCATTGATGACTGGGGAACGGTATGTAACGCAATAACTACTTGTCCACTTTCACGATGCTAACGCGATAATGACACGTTGTTAGCACGATGATAACACGATGCTAGTACGATGTTAATACAATGTGGTGTTAACAATTATTACACAAGCTCTGGTGGTCTAGCATTTTTCCAGTAATGGCTGGTGTGGTTGCTTTTCCTTGTGTCCAGTAACCGTGTTGTACTCTCAATAAAATACATATTCACCAAATTAATGTCTATACCTACAAGATGATGGATTAGGGTTAATTATCTTTTATTAAACCTTTTTTCTGGATCTACAAGATTTTGATGAGTTATTTTGATAATTTATTCAAAATTTGATAGTGGAGTTTTATTTTATTTTCAATCGTTATTTATGCAGTTTTAACATGGCTTCATGCTATATTTCCAGTGACATTATCAATGTGCTTACCTTTTGATATGCTGAAAGATGTTGATAACTTAATTTGTAAATAACGTCCCTTAATCGTATTATACCGTAATGAGATTATTAGAAGCTTAACAGCTTAATACGTAGAGAAAATTGAAGGGCATGGGAATATGAAATCAATACCAGCTTTTTCCAAGGTCGTCGCGCATTATTGGAAGCCGGACCACTTATGGTTTACTCAACATATCAAATTGCCTATCTCCTTAAGCTCATTAGGGCTTTAAAAATAAAATTGAGTTCAAGTCATTATTATGATAACACTGTTCTTACTTCTCCCTTTGTTTGGAGAGGCAAGTGGATACCGATGGCTTTCAGATTATTGTGTCGGGGCTCGAACCATCGACCTTCGCATCTCTATAATCAAGCGCCTTTGAATATCTTAAAGGCCAACTGCACTACTTGTAGTTACTTGCGCCCTCTATATAACAAACAATGCCTAATCGGTGACCATTGGTCCCCCATGATCCTCTTTTTCTTATGTTAACTGAGAGCTGAGTTGATGAGATAACCACCTGTCCAGTGACCTTGCAGGGCAGTCTAATCCCTCCTGTAAACTACGGCAGATAAGCTTTAACAGAAAAAAGATTATCATTATGATTATCCGGTGGTGGCGAACCGACGCTCGCGCACAGACTTAAAGTGACTCGGTAACATTGTTGAAGGTTGATGAAAAAAATTGCTTAATTTTTGTATAAAATGTTACTTACTATATTCCTTCTACCATACTAACCCTCTGATATGCAAAAAATCCTGAACAAATTCTCAAACCACAAAGATATCTATGGTTTTCTCTGAAGGCATCGATGTGAGGCACCCTCTGACAGTGATTAACAGTAAATTCTCCCAAACATTTTTGAATTTTACCAACCGTTTTTCCATTACAAAAATACATAAAACAGGCTATAAAAATCTGTCAACACTTAACTGTCTGGAATGGAATGTAGAGCCATTTTATTGCTTTGTGACGATTTACATTCACCTAAAATGTAATTAAATTGTCCTTGTCTTGATGCTGAACAGGCTTCGACAAGTAGCAGAATAGAAGTAGAATAATATAGTTGGGAGAATTAAGGAATCGATCAGATCAGTTTTTCCCAATTTGTACCATGAATAATGATCCGTTTTCACTCAAATTTTCAGAATATCTTTAATTGTACATCTAGCATTGAAGTCACTACCTTAGCACCACTATCTCTCATCTGAACAATGTTACAAAGTCCCTTTAAGCACTTGATGTATCTATGGTATACTCGGTTCTTGAAACTGGAAACTAAATGTTGTAAATTATCATAAATTTGTAAAACTCCTCCTCCCCCTCTCTTGTTTCTCCTCCCTGTTCCTGTAGACGTGAACCCGTTGACTACTGAATTCTCTCATCCATCTAGGCTTTCCAAAGAAACCAGAAGGTTCTAGACTCGCAGGCAATGTACTGTGACATCTCACATTTTGTTTTCTTTATATTCATTGTACTCTAGCATGTAGTAACAAAGGTAGACCTTGGATCAAAGTCAACTGTACGTTTTGCTGAGAGTCGAGAGGACTTCGTCCATTTTGCCCGAACTGAGGTGAGTGAAAGAACCAAGAGCAAAACCACGAAGGTCTGCTCTCATGGGATATATATATATAGTCAGATATTTGTAGGACGTTTAAAGAGAAGGTTGAGTTCTGGGAAGAGATGAAAAATAATTTGTGAGCGTTATCATTCTTATTATGCAAGTGTGGAAGAACATCAGATAAGACATGTTCCCTGAAAAGCATGGCTCTTCAAATGCCTTCATATTCTAAATATGGCATGTAACATCGTAAAAATCGGGGGTAGGATTTTTACGCCACGTGTTCGTGTAGTCCCATATACATCTTTCTGTGTACAGTGTTTGTAACTTCACCAAGACTTGGCCAAATTTCTCATCGTTTTGATGATTCCAGAACCTTGCAATACACACAAATTCTTATATGTTAGATGATCAACCTTTTCTGGTCGATCCCACACCGTTTCTGTCACAATGCAATCGCATGACCAGAACTCAACTTCATCTTTAAAGTTGTGTTTGTTTCCTATTGTCATGGATTTTGTGAGTAGTTATGATACAAATTATGTTAACCTACACCCAATGTTCAGAAACTTTTATAATAGTAAGAAAGGGAGGAAGTGAGACAGAAGGAATTTGGCCAAATTATCTGAAGTAAATCATGTTTTGGAAACAATTCTTGTTTTTAATTACCAGACGTAATTAGACGAGTTAAATCTCTTTAAGTTTTTGACAACCAAGGCTCTTTTTCATACAAAACTTGTTATCAATAACAACTTCCACCGATATATGACAAATCTGCTCATGACCAACCACATGTAAGGATCTCAGTAGCTTATAACATTTATTATAGTATCTTGTTACTGAAAACAAGTTTCATGAAACAGGGCCCAGATGTTATTTTGTCTCTACATTCATGACATAGGTGTCGAAACATATTACCAATTTATAGTAGGATGACCCCCCCCCCCCCCATTCGCCAAGAAACAATGAACAATTTCATTTTTTTTTAATTAAAAAAAAGCGGATCCCGGGGATGTTCAGGATTCCCTTGCTTTGCTCCTAAAATAAGCCATTTCGTAAATACTATCTGCGCATGGGCAAGATAAAGGTCATTTCTGATGAAATTGTAAAACCCACAGAGATGAATAAGTGCTCATGTTATGTAATCATTATTCATGTGTTGCACCTGCGGTACATTCTACAAAAGGCCAAACAAAAGCTTTTTCTTGAAACACATACAAGACTTTGGCATTGATTAATAAATCTAAAATACACAAAGTGGGACTTCTCCATGAGTAAAAGATCTGTGGATATTTGGGGTCATTTTACCCATGTGATAACTTCGAAATGCTCGCAACGACTTTCGGAACATCAACCAATAAGGAACTTGCTGTAGTCTTGAACATCACTTTTTTTTTAATAGTGTGCGAACATGGCAATGACATGACAATGACTTATTACATAATCCAAACAAACTTTCTTCGGGATATTCAACTGGGTATAGAAATTTCCCTAGAGTTTGTTTTTCGAAATTCTTCGCAATCGTGTTCTCTTGTCAGACTGACCCCCCCCCCCTCCAAAATCATTGATATGCCTCTACCTTTAAACTGTTTCGTCACCATGTTCTCTACCAGGTAGAGGGCAGTGTGACGTTTCGCACTAAGATCATCACGGGTTACCGTGGAGCTCTGAAGGTCGATACTGATGTCTTTGAGACTGGTCTGTCAACGGGACAGAAGTTTGGAAGCCATCTTTCAAACTTCACGAGTGGGGGTGATGAACTACCAGGTAAGGTATTATCGTTGAATGAAATGGACCTTGCATACATGAGAAAGAAACAAGACCAAACTAAATTACTGTCGTTTTGTTATTCGAGAAATGCCTAAACAATTTGATGAGACATAATACCCCCCCCCCCCCCCCCAAAGAAATAAGGGTGTAATTGGGTGCAGATTTTGCATTCACCTACGCGTATTTGGCAGAGGGTGCTGCTATGGTAGCAGAATCGTACCTGTATTACTTAGTGTTTGCATTTAAGTGTTCGATTATGTACGTTCGAATATGCAATATTTAATGTTCTCTGTAGAGATGAAACATTTTGTCACTCAAAATTGTCAAAACATTATTTGTTATGATAACTCAAAAACTTTATTGTTAAAAATAATGTAAGCGCTTTGGTCGGTCGTAATTGGTAAAGCACTTTATTATAAGAAACATATAGAATTATCATTTTAGTGAATGCAAGATGGACAGTGCATATGTTTGTGGCCTACTTGTGTATGGGTAGCCTTTATCATTTATTTCTTTTCACAGGCTTTATTTTTAATTTATTCTGTCTTATTCTATTTTCAATGTGCTTATTTTGGGTCGGGTAAATCGAAATTATCCTTCGCAACTGGCATTAGAATGAGTATCGCGTTGTTCTTGACATTTAGAACCGATTGCTGTCGAACTGATTGGAATGCATGAGGTCTTCGATAAAGACTTCTGGCAGCAATACTCAGACTACATCAAGCGGAGACTCTGTACAGTGGACTGGATGTCTAATAAAGATACTATCCAACTGAACATGGAGATGGCAATGAATAACTACGCAGATTGGAGGGGAGCAGAAGAAACAGTTGGTAATTTTCACCTACACCTCCCCCCCCCCTTACCCCCCCCTCCCCCGCCCTTCATTTTCTTCCATTAATTCACAGATCTCTCTCTCTCTCTCTCTCTCTCTCTCTTTCTTTCTGTCTCCCCCTCTCTCACTCTCTCTTCAAAAAAATGATGACCCGCCCCCACGCACACACGTACTCCTTTTCGCGCGCGCGCTCTCTCTCTCTCTCTCTCTCTCTCTCTCTCTCTCTCGTTCTTTTTGTAATTACCATATATATCTATAGACTTTGGCAATTGTGTATTTCAAAACCCTCTTCTTGTAGCCTTAAACTATATCAGCACCACTCTTATTTTACTTCTCTCTCTCTCTCTCTCTCTCTCTCTCTCTCTCTCTCTCTCTCTCTCTCATGTAACCACTTATACATGCTGTCAACCTAAATTATTCTTCTCGTTCCTCTCCAATATCCAATCCCTTTGTATTACAATCCATTGCTCCCAAGTATGTTCAAAACCGTAACAGTGACCTACAGCTCCATCTTTATAGGAGACGACCATTTTGAAAGAGTTAAATATTTGGCAACTTTTATAAACCAACGAGATGTAGGACCGGGTGATTGTCTCATCATTCACTTTCTAATTTAGATCCCGAGATTGTAATCCCAATCGCCTGGCCGAAGGGGACCTACACTTTACCGAAACCAATCTACGGGTGCCCCAATACCCATTTCACCTGGGCCGAGGGATGGCGCTTCCATGATACAGAAGATGTTGCCCCTGGTAACTACTGGAGCGATCCTCTACATCTGTCTGGAAACTTTAAGAAGAATGACATGGATCGCTGGTTCTGCTCAAAGACCGTCGAGGAGCAGGACATCTTCAACTGGTCCTTCCAATCTGGCCAGTACTGCGTGGCTAAGAAGGGGTCACTCTGTCCCAAAGGTGGGTCAATACCAACAACTTTCTCTCTCTCTCTCACACACACTCTCTCTCTCTCTCTCTCTCTATTCTCTCTCTCTCTCTCTCTCTTTTCCTCCTTTCCTTTATTAGGGAAAACGGTATTGGTATCAAGACGATTGCATACACTTTCGATGAATTAACCTAAGGTAATTGCATTAGCCTTATTCATCACCTATTGAATTTACAATGACATATTATGTAATCAAAATATTGTGTGGAATAATAAACGTAGGGTAGTTAAATTGCCTTTAAACGGATTTTCTGATGGTGTTAATCACTTTATTTCACTGATATAGAGACGGTTTATTTTACAAAGCAACTACAATAACCTGTCCACAATTGACTTCTGACTTTTGAAGGGTTGTCTGAGGGTTATGTGTTCTGGGATGACGAAGATACGGGCAACGATAACGCCTTCGCTGGTGATCTACCGAGCGGTCAGTTTGATCACAATACTCGCATCGACTACTGCTGTCGTGACGATGGATTCGCCAGTAACCCAATCTATCTCCCCGTGGATGAACCCTTCTTTCTCCTCAAAGTCAATCATCAGTGTCAAGAGGTAAGCCCCCCCCCCCTCCCTCTTCTAAGAAAAAAATGATGATGATGGTGATGCAAATAATAGTAATGATGCCCATTATATCTAAGAAAAGGAGAACACAAATTAAGTGACCTCCTTCCTGTCATTCATCCTGCAGGTTGTGGGCATGACGTACACGGAGGAGTACTTCCGGTGGGACACCAATGACCAGGGCAATGATGATCTCGTCTTCGGAACTCACCCTTATCCCGGAGACACCGACAATAACATCCTCCTCGATTTCTGCTACTATGAGCCACTCCAAGATGACGACGTGTGAGGTCAAAGGTCACACGAAACCAGCGCAATGAGAGAAATAGTTTCGATGGTTTAGATTAAACAAAATGATCTAAGGTCACTAAAGGAAATAAATGGATAATGATTTGATGAATAAAATACTTTTGAAAATGACAGCCTGTTTTGTTAGAAGTTTTTGTCTCTTTTCTTTGTTGCAAGCTTATTGAAATATGTTGTAAGGCTGGTAATGATTATTACACGGGTGCCGCCCATGCACGTAGGCCTAAGTGGAATAGGGGCCTAGATTAAACCCCTCCAATTTGAGACGAATACTGAATGTGATATAAATTTGTTGACTGCGATTAGCAGAGTCTTGAAGAAAAGTCAGAATATGAAATGGGGAGATGCGGTCACATTAAAAACGTATGAAACATTAAAAAAAGACATCCAACAAAAGACACGAGAGAGAATGAATAAGCTAATAATGAGAGAATTAGGAAAGTGGAATAGTGTTCTTTATGAAGCGAAAGGCGTTGTCACGAACAATATTCATCATCATACTCTGCTACAATTCGTGTGAAATTATTTGGACAAAACATGATTTCATTGCATTAATAAGCCATTATTGAAATTGAAGTACCAAGGTTCCTAAGGGGGGGGGGGGGATACCTAGGTCATATGTTGATTATAATCAATATACCACACATGTTGGAACAACAATACAATATGTATAATTCAATATACTGGGGAAAACAAAAATGATTACATGATGGAATACATGTGAACACCGATACGTCTGGCTTTGTTTTATTTTCATTTTTTCCTATCTGGTCTTGTTTTGTTTCGGATTTGTGTTTGTTTTGTTTTGTTAAATTGTTGTTTGTTCAGGGTATAGGATATATTAGTTTGAATTGTGTTTTTTTTTTTATCAAGTTTTGTTTTAATTGTCAAGATTATTTGTTTTGTCTAGTTAGGAATTCAGACTTGATTTCGAAGTTGATGAATGACGACGAATATTCGAGTACGATATGGTAATACATGATGATGTCCTCCCTGTTTACAGGGCAAATTCCTAATTTTATGTGGAACTGTTGTATCGAAATATACAAATAAACACAACTCTATTCTATCGATAATGGCCAACAAAATGACCACCAAATAAGAAGGGGACAAACGCCTCATAGATTTAAATCTGGGTCTGTTGATGCAGACTATTTGATCTTCAGTAGATAATCACGTGCTAACTGAGCGAAGTTCATTGCCAGGACTGGTGACCCTCTTTAGCACATCATTCCGTCTCTCTTCTTTTCTTCTCTTTTGCCGTCTTCATTTCTCCTCTTCTTCACTACTGCCAACAAAGAATGAAGGCCTATTCGTCGGTCCTGGTTTTAGGTCTGGCCCTACTCATGGGCTACCTGGTCTATACCCCTATACCAGAAGGCATGTTGGATCAATGGCAGTACAGATTAATGACGGCTGGGGCTAAAACGGCGGCACTAGCTGTAAGTACATGTACATTTACACACTCCAGTTGAATGCACATCCACTATATGGATGCAGCAGTGTATAACTGATCACATGAATTGGAAAATACCTAATTTCTAGTTCTGTGGTATTGATTCTCGTTTTTCTTCTATGACATCGTTCGTCTGCTTTTTATACTTTGCACTTTGACCAGGATCCCGAGAATGCTCTTCTTCGTGTTAGTCTTGATTATCAAGACCCCTTGTAAGTCAGCATGGTTGTTTTTTGTGTGGACGGTTTCTAAGTTATGAATCAAATCGTATGGTCATAACTTTTTTTTGTCAGGCTATGGTTACTGAGTGAGAGAGTGGGAGATCGAGAGACAGAAATTGAAAGTGGGAAGGAATAACTGTTGATGGATCAGGCACGGATCTAGGGGGGGGGTTCGGCGGTTTAACCCCCCCCCCCCCCCCCCCGCCCCTTGGGCGGCCAAGTGAAGAAAAACAAGGGAGAAGGGGGGGGGGGGCAAAGGGGGAAAGGGGGGAGAAAAAAAGAGGGGAAAAGTAAAACAGTAAAATGGCAATTTTTGGGGTAAATCCTGGATCAGCTACTGGGTCAACCCCTCCCCCCCCCCCTGACAAAAAGCTAGATCCGCCCCTGTGGATAGAGAAAGAAAATGCAGTGAAGCAATGAATTTAAAGAGGGGGTCGCCGAGAGAGAGAGAGAGAGAGAGAGAGGAAAAAAAAAGGGATTCACAGAGAGAGAAGTGGCATCTGTAAAAACGTCGCAATTGTTTTTTGGTTTGTACATAAAACAGGCGACCTTGCGAACATACATCCAACCTGGTGATGATGACGTTTACTACCGAACGATCAGCTCCCTGTGTGACATGGTGCTACCTGCTGCGGACAAGAAGGTCCAGGGTTCGAACGTCAAGGCACAGTATGCCGAATTTGAGGGGGTGAGGGTCCTGGTCTACACCCCACTCACGGAAAGAAGGGGTCTTGCCCCTGGTCTTGTCTATTATCATGGAGGGGGATTTGGATTTGCAAGTACAAGTAAGATGAAAAATGAAGAAATATTATTCTTCTCTCTCTCTCTCTCTCTCTCTCTCTATCTTTATCTTAATCGCTTCTTTCATATCCCCCCCCCTCTCTCTCTCTTTCTCGCTCTCTCTCTCTCTCTATCTCTTTCCCCATCTGTCTCTCTTTCCCCCATCTGTCTATCTAGTTTTCTTTCTCCTAATCGTGTCATCTCTTTTATATATCTCTTTCTCTCCCCTCTTTCTCCAGCCATACTTTTCAGATTACGATAACTTTTAGTGGATTAAACCACGTCACTGAGAAGTCATTTTTGGGGATCGGTCTCAATTACAATTTCAAGGGCGCCACAGACAAATTTAAGTTATGTGTCTCAGTTGTAGTCGAGTCACAACAATTGGAGTTTTGTTTCGTTATTTTTATTCCTTAATGTTTGTTATCACGTCTGTTAGAGTATTTGGATGTGAAGAATCGCTCTGACTTTGATTTCTTTCTTTACGACAGAGACCAACGGACGGCTAACAAGATACCTTGCTGAACAACTTGATATGGTGGTCATATCTGTCGAGTAAGAACTTTACTTTATTTTCAAGAAGCTTTCCTTTATTTTCAAGAACCACCTTGAAATTTGCGTAGAGATCGATGTTATTATAAATGTACCTATCATGAAGAAAGCAGGAAATAAATATTGGGATATCAAGGGAGCAAGATTAGTCAAGGTGTCATTTATCAAATATAACAAGGAACAACATTAACTGACCTACAAATGGATTTTGCCGGTCACGGAATTATTGTTATTTATGAAGCACTAAATATATTTTATGGTTAGTCTCCATTATAATAATAATAATAATAATAATAATAATAATAATAATAATAATAGTAATAATAATTCTCAGTTTTTAAATAGCGCTTATTACAATCACTAAGCGCTTCCAAACTTGGAGATTATTACTCCGGCTTTAGCTGTGCTGCTATTACGGCGCTCTAGCATTTCAAAGAATTAATTCCTGCCAGGTACCCATTTACATCACCTGGGTTGACTGTGACAAATGTAGATCAATGTCTTGCCAAAGGACATTAGTGCCGCGGCGGGTCTCGAACCGCGGACCTTGTGATCGACAGTCTGGCGACTTAACCACCCGACCACGGCACCTCTATTAAACACATAGCGGAGGGGTAATATTTCCCAACTAGGGCACCATTTAATATCATTCTTGATATCTTGAAATACAAAATGTTCTTCTCTTTGTGTTATCAGTTACCGTCTTGCTCCTGCACACCCTTTTCCAGCTGCAGTTGAAGACAGTTTCACAGCGACCAAATGGTTTCTCGACCATGCTCATGAATATGGTGTCGACGCCGACCGCGTAGTCGTCAGCGGTGATAGCGCTGGTGGTTTCCTAACGGCCGTCATCGTCCAGCTCGTCCACGATGACCCATCTCTACCCGAAATCAAGCTCCAAGTCCTCTTCTATCCGTGGACACAGTGCTTTGACTTCAACACGCCGTCTTATCAGAAATATGAGGTCGACTTTGGGGAGACTGGTATGGTGGCAAAGCCTCGTATGGCCGAGTTTGTTTCCGCGTACCTCCTCGGGAGATTTGATAAACCATTCATGAAGCAGTTGCAGAAGAACGAACACGTCAGTGCGGCATTCAAACAGTCAAAACTCTACCGGGCTGTTTTCAACCATACGATTATTCGCCAACATCCTGGTGTGCCTTTGACCTCTTTACCTAGTCAACAGAAAATCTTCCAAGGAGGTAATGACACGCTCTGGGAAGATATTAAAGACCGATTGCTCGATCCAAGGCTATCACCGCTGTTCCGGAAAGATTTCAAAGGTATGATTCATCTATTACATGTCTTTCACTCCTACTATAATTTAAAAAAAAATGATGGTTACACGCTACACCACAGTTGCAGCGAAGAGACGAAAACATACCGTTCTAAACTTTACACGATACCTCATACTTAAGACACACAGACACGTCCGACACCACAACGACAGAAGAACAGAAATTACATAATACCCCGAACGGCAAATGCATGTACCGGTCGGTTTTTGAGTCGGTTTATAAGTCCACCACACACTGCACGATCGTCCTGCGATCCGACTTTTGTAAATAAATTGCGATTGTATTAGATAGGAATACTAAACAAACATCATCTTCATGATTTAACTTCTGAATAATTATATAAATACTAACAACCGGAACGTTGAACTCTTCTGGTCAGAATGAACGCCGAATCGGCTTCAAATCGTAGCCACAATCATACTGGTCTGACATCATTAAGATTCTATGCCGATTTAACTTTTCCTCTTCCAAGGCAGCATGAAGTCCCTTGAAAATTAATATTTAGTTAATTATATGACTTATTCAGATTTTCGATCAACATGATTTTTGCAAATTCTTCCAATATCGGATCGTAATCGGATCGAATAGTTTGCGTGGGATTATTGATCGAATGGCAAAGAATCGGTCACCAAATTTGCACGTTTTTAAATCGTTTTAGCTGTATGACTAATGTATTAAGGATTTATGACGATGACGAGGGAGCGGGCATAGGTTTCATATCACTGAATGTTGTGCTACTTTTATTGGAAGAGGTATGACATAAACATATTTAATTTGTTTGTGCAGTTGTGTTATTTACTTTTTCAAATCATTATCTTTGTCGGCATAAGGTTTGCCTGCTGCTTTCATCGCCACTGCAGACCTGGACAGTCTACGAGATGACGGGATCTTCTACGCCAGACTCCTGGCTGAGGCAGGCGTGGAGGTGACGTTAAAGAACTATCTCGGTGCTTACCATGGCATAGCGGCTGCAGGACCTATCACGAACATCCCGACCGGGGTTCAAATGTTGAATGATTCGATTGAGTTTATTCGAGATAACGTTTAACAATCAATGTATATATTCCACAAATCGAAATGTGCCATCCTGAGAAGTATTATGAGTGCATTTCTATCATTCTTACAGTATACTTTCTAGTTTATAACTTTAAACCATGTAAAATGTATTATATTATTAAATATTGAATTGTATATCTGATTTCTTGTCAAAATTACTGTTCAGTTGGAAATGAAAAATAAAAACTGAAATCTGAAACTGAACTGAAATGAAATTAATTGTAAACGTGATGATAATGGTAACTATAATAATGATAATGATGATAAAAACGCCTAATCCATCGTCGATGTTTCTTATTGCGTTACAGTCTGTTATTATTACTCCGGTTGTGCATGTATATTTGAGGCCATAGACAATAAACAATAGACAAAGGACTCTACCGGAGCATTGTTGAACCGTTATTCTTGCATCAATACTTTGTCCTCATTAATGCACTAAATTGGAATACCAGGTTTCAAGGATGCCGTAGAATTTGGGCCGTAGAATTTGGGCAATTCTGTCCTCGAATCAGTCCCATGCTTACGCTGTTTGACTGTAGGATGGGTTGGGCCCAATGTGGCGCTATTTCAATATAGACTTTGAGGACCTTGAGTAATATTGCATGTACAATGTTGAGCAACTACATACACTGTCGCTCATATAGTTGGAATATTTTGGTTTTTTCCCCAATTTATGGAATTATTTTAAAAATAATTTATTCCTAATAGTTTTAGATATATAATAGTATGCATTCTCAGATTTTATTGAATAATAATTTGCCAATGTGTGTTTTGCGTGACTGCTAAAGCATGTGTATGCTACTATGCTTATCAACTAGGGGACCTACGCCCTTAAGTCATAAATGACAGTAATGAGGATTAATGCCCGACAAAAGGGCCCTAATATAGCACATCGACACGGTTTTGATCCTGGGGCCTCACAGTTCCGAGACCATTGCTTTGTCACTGAACCATGACTGTACGCAGCGGGGGCTAGGGTAGGGGGCAGTTTCCATATATAAAACAAAGCAAAGAAAATGCAATAAATTTTCAATAATTTATTGAATTTTACCACGGTCCCTAACATTAAAAAAAATCCATGTATTATGGCTCAAGGCATGGGCACACAGAGGATTAAGCATTATACTTTAAAATTGTATACTTGATAGTTATTGTAAAATAATTACAAACAAAAGACTTTGCTAATCGCAGTTCCATATGTATCCTTTAGTGTGAATCTCTTGATATTGTGTTTAATGAAGGTGCAATAATTATGAGTAGATTTGTATTATATAGGCCCTAGTCTATGATTGGAACATGTTACCAGGCGCGTACGCATGGGGGTGGTTTTGGGGGTCGAACCCCCCCCCCCCTCAAAGTGTGTGTGTGTGTGTGTGTGTGTTTTGGAGGTCACATGACCATGACTCATGCTCCTTTCTTTCTATTCGTACTCTTTACTATACATACAATTGTAACTGCTTGAATTGATTGGTTAGAGATGATTCGAGCACTATGTTTATTTGTATCATGTATTTGTTGAAAGTGTACCGATGCTGATCTCAGAGAATTTTTGAAGCATACTATTATTTATGTCAGAGCACCTGAAATTCAACAATTTGTTTGATGGAAATAGAATGGAGTAGGCTACATCTTTCACGGCTGATCTAGCTGTCCGGAGACTCCGGAAGATATGTCTTGGTATAGTGGTTCATTCACTTGACCCTCAATCCAGGCACGCGCGGCACTCACGTCGATTGGCAAGACAATAATCCTCGTTTGCCACTCTTCACCCAGGTGTAAATAGATACCTGGAAATTGCTGAGGTAATAATGATAGAAGCGCCCTAGGGAAGAACAGAACAGACGATGCGTGATGAGGTTTGGGCAATGACCTCTACGGTTTAGGTAAACAAAAGTAATTTTTTTTTTTTTTTTTTTTTTTTTACTATAGTCAAGCTATACTTTACTGTAGACATCTGAGTCACTGATCTTTACGTAAGTAGGCCTAGACATCAGCTAGTGCTACTTATCATTTCATCAAAGACAAATATTCTCAGCCCAGGCTCAATTCAAAATTTAGACGATTTTCTTTGTTGGGGTGGGGGACTTTCGATGGCTTAATTTGGAAGCTTTAAAATGTTTTTGTATTCTTGCAGTCCGTGTGCCTTGCTTACATTCATTAATAATCAGCAACAAAAATTGGGCCCCACTAAAATATAAGAGAAGAAACCAATGCATTTCCTTCTACTATATGGAGCGTTGATCCAGGGCATGTGAGTTAAAGTCTCACCTCCCTGGTTGATCGAACCTTTTTTTTCTACAAAGAGTGTGTGTAGGGGGGGGGGGGGGGGGGGGGGGGTGCTGCCTGAAAAGTGGACATTGATCGGGACGCATAATGGCTGCCGATGGCTTTTTGTAATGGTGTCCGTTTACGTACACAATTGGTTGTTCTGCTCTTTTAAATACATGTATATTAACGCTCGCTGCTGGACCTATACAGCTGCACATGCACACAGTGACTCCAGTTTGAACTGAGGGAAACACGTAAATCAGGAGGCACTACTACAAACAGACGAAGCTTTTCAGTTTGTTAAGGTTAACCAGCGATTAAGTTAGTATGGAAGCACTGGGTAGCGTTCTCTTTGTGTTGGTGGCCACTTTGGGGCTGCTCGCAGCATATCTTCTCTATGAACCTGTACCTGATGGCATTACGGAGCCAACGAAATACAGATCATTCAGGGCGATATCAAGATTCATGAAACTTCTGGTAAGCAAGACTATTCATTTTAAATGTTGATTTGATTTTTAAAGATAATTTTAATCGATTTTTGTTATGAAATCATAAAACTATCCGGAGTCAGTATGACTAGGGCTAGGGAAAGATTGAAAAGGTAGCTCATAACATCTATAGTTTATAAAGGCCCTGTTTTTGTGATCAAAATCATGTGATAAATAATTACGCATCCTTGATGAAAGCACTATACACAGAAACGTGTATGTGTATATGTGGCATGAAAGTTGGTTTCCAAACATGGCAGCGCAGCGCTTCTTGTCCGTATTTTAATACGATAGAGGGCAGTCCTATAGTAGAATTCCCTTGGCTTCCCTGAAAGGAAAAGTGAGAGGGCTTGAGTACAGTGTTATAAAACTATAATTAAACGTCAGGGAAGAAAATTTGATTTGATTTATTGGTTTCTGCATCTTTTTTCTTTTTTTTCATCATACGTTTTCATGACGATATTAATCCACGTTTGCTATTGAATATATTCGAAAGTGCCTCACGACAAATGAATTGAAAGGAGAAGAAAAAATATAAATTACAAAATTACAAATATCACTCTTTTATCTGTCTGATTTTCTTGACATATCAGATTTCCATATCTCACCTTGCACATCGAGATGAGCCCTTTGCCAGTTACTATGTCAAGTGTTTGCGATATTTCTTTGACAAGGGCGCCCCGAAACCACCAGCAGAGGTGGAAGGTTCAAGCATCAGGTCGCGGGTCATTGACCTCGGTGGGGTCAAAGCCAGATTGTATGAGCCAATCAAGAGGAGTGGTTCTGACCTGATGCCAGCTTTTATCTACATCCATGGAGGAGGGATGTGCATTGGCAGCGCAGGTATGTCCATGCTATAAGCGTCTCGCTCTCTCTCTCTCATGCCCCCCCCCCCCTCTCTCTCTCTCTCTCTTTTACCCTTTCATATTCACTCATCTTGGTTATCTAATTTCCATGTCCCTCTACCTCTTTTTTCCCCTCAATTTTTCTCCCATTCCCCTTAGCTCCCCCCCCCCCCTCAAACTCTCTTTTTCCCTCGCTCTCTCCCTCTCTCTTTCTCTAGCTATCTCTTTCCCTAGCTCCCTAGCTCTTTCTATCACACTCTTTCCCCCTCTCTCTCTCTCTCCCTCTCTCTCTCTCTCCCTCTCTCTCTCTCTGTCTCTCTGTCTCTCTGTCTCTCTCTCTCTCTCTATCTCTCTCTCTCTATCTCTCTCTCTTTATCATGTTATTCTCTCCATCTCCTTCTCCATTTCCTTCGTCCCTCTGCCACTTCATTTCCCTTACCTGAATTAATTGCTTGTCAATATTGTTAATTATCCCTGCTCGATTTAATTTTCATTTCGATTCTGCGCAAGTCGAGCTTCTATACAAAAACAATCATGGAAGAAAAATTTTAGCACACAATTAATTCGTAGAAATGATTGACACATTGCAGTCGTAGATTTTGAATTCTTAATCAAACACAAATTAGGATATATATTTTTTTTGTTTACATGTAAACTTGTTGTTATATATATATTTAGATCTTTAGTCCAATTAGGAGATGCGTTTATTTCTTTCACATTTTCATTCTCTTTCAGATGCATACGATGGACTAACAAGATCCCTTGCAGAAGAGCTAGACACCGTGGTTGTTTCTATAGAGTACGTTTCTACCTCTTTTGCAATTGACATTCATATGTATTCCCTTTGGGGTAGCCACGGGCACCTACATGACCCCCTCCCCCCCCCCCCCCCCCCCCAAAAAAAAAAAAAAAAAATAGTAAGGTGAAAAAACGAGAAATGAGAGAGTGAAGATAATTAAATGAAAATAAGATGAGACGACAACAGTTTACTCCCACTCCGGCTCGACGAGCTTCGTCTCTCATATTTCATTAGAATTGAACGCTGCCGCTAGCCCTCACCTCTTTTTAATAACTCTTCACACACCAGTGCCCCTTCAGTGGCTCAACACACGCTACGCCTATCTTATAATTGAAATTTACCACAATTTGGGCAAATGCAATGACATATTGCAGTATTTTGGTTATTTTGGTTATCCCCTGTACGTATTTCATGTTTGTTTATTCTTGTTTTTTTAGAATCGTTTGTATTCCCCCCTCCCTTTTTTTTGTTCTTTGTTTCTTTCAACTCTACATGTTTCAATTTTTTTAATTCATTGATATCTTTCTTTGCATCCTTCACTTTATTTCTACATTTCATTACACGGTTCTTCCTTTTCTTCTTCCCGTTCCTCTGTCAATCATGCATTCAATAAAAATTGCTCTCTTTGGTTCCTTTTTTCACTCAGTTATCGTCTCGCTCCCGAGCACCCTTTCCCGATAGGTCATGAGGACTGTGTAGCAGCCACACGGTACTTCATGCAACATGCCGAAAACGACTACCATGTCGACCAGCGGCGCATCGGCGTCGGTGGTGACAGTGCTGGTGGTCATCTCTCCGCGTCCGTGGCCAACGACATCCACGATGACCCTTCCTTACCCGACCTCAAGCTCCAAGTCCTTATCTATCCCTCGATGCAAAAGATTGATCTCAATACCCCGTCTTATCAGAAGTACACGGCTGATTTCGGCGGGTCGGGCATCCTCCCCTTGCATCTCGGCATCAGCTTCTCCAACCTCGCCTCAGTGGGAAAGATTGACCAAGAATTTATGAAAAACGCGGCCAAAAACAACCATACGTCATCCGAATTCAAGAAAACATCACTGGAGTACAAGTACGTCGATCACAACCAGATCCCAGCGGAATTCCGGGATCCCAGATATTACAAGACAAGGAATGATCCACAAACCGGCGACGCAGCGCTTTGGGAGCGCATCTCACATATCCTCCTTGATGCGCGTAGCGCGCCGTTGATGAGACACGATCTGACGGGAGTTCCCCCTGCTTACGTCATCACGTGTGGTTTTGACTCGCTTCGAGATGATGGTATCTTCTACAAGAATCGACTGGAAGAGGCAGGGGTAGCGGTCACGTGGTCTCACTATGAGGGGGCCTTTCATGGGATTCTGTGGTTGAGCAATGCAGTACGTTTCACACTTGGGGAAAACATGCGCAAGGACATCGTTGCTTATTTCAAAGAAAATATATAAGAGTCGACACAAATATATAAGGGTCGACACTTTAAATCGAAAGTATCAGAATCTTAATCTTTGAAAACTTTTCATGTCTTTAATAATCTTTGATAAATGATGAGACGGTGAAATTTCTCATCCCAAAGATGAACAAGCTCAAAATACTGAATAAAAACAGACTTGACGATGTAGATTAGCAATAAAGTTCCGATGGCATGTATAATACGATTGTGAATGATACATAACTCAAATCTTATACTAATACAAAAAAAAATCTTCATATATCACACTTCTATCAAAATTCAAATTGGAGATTTAGGTATACCATAGTGTTTTCCTATAATATGTGTATGCATGTAATACCGAGTACAGGGAATGAATAAAGGAAAAGACATTGTGGTATAGTAGCGGAGGCTTTTTAAGTATCAAAGAATACGACAGAAAGTAGATGAAAGAATAATAGTTTTCTTTTGATTATTCAGAATTTCGATCAGGTAGGATTTACATTTTAAAATTCAGCCTCTACAAGTATCGGAATTTCTCCATTAATATAGTTGCTGTCGGGTGGTAAGAAGTACGATGGTAGAGGAATCTGGAGAGGGGGTATCATCTCTGGCCGTTGGGGGATGTGTTTAGGGTAAGCTGGGTTTTCTTTGTTTAATGCCTTTATCTTTCATGATGTTATGTTTATATCTTATTCTCTGTTCATCTTTCTATTCTTTTATAATTGGTTGTAATCACTATTGTGCCTCAATTATAATGAAAATCAATGAAATATAATGGATAAAAAAGACTAATAATAACAAAAGATGAGATGCAAACACTGTGTCACTGGAATGAATAACATTTACGAGGACAAAAAGGATAAATGATATTGAAAATTCTATCCTACGAAGGCATAATTGCGTCCTGTGTGTTTTTGTTCTCAATTGATGCTTTTCTTACTATCTGAGCATGTATTGCCTTTAATATCATTAATCGCTTTTTAGTGTTATTCCCCTCATTTGCTTTACTTGCAAAAGCAAACAGATTTCTCTCTCTCTGTCTCTCTCTGTCTCTCTCTGTCTCTCTGTCTGTCTCTCTCTCTCTCTCTCTCTCGTTCGCTCTTTTTCGCTCTCATCGCGGAAAGTGCTAGAATATATCTTCCCGCCTCGCTCAGTACAACAAAAAGTCAACCATCAGCAGTCTATATTTCTATAGCAGGCTATTTTCTGAGTTTTTCTCTTTTATCTTCTTCTTATATTCTCTTTGTTTTTTTTTCCTCTTCCTCTCAACTTCATGTACATGTATTCGATCATAAAAAAGGAAGAATCTTTACAGTGCAAACATGAATTTAATATCACACACTATCACAAAATAAACATTATAACATACTTTTACAAAATAAACATTATAACACACTATTACAACATATCATGAAAGGCTATGGGATAGGTATAATCTGAAATGCACTCGATATCTTCAAATATAACGACCTCCTTAAGTAATAGCGCTTCAAATAAATCATTATCGTTATATCGAAGCCTTCTCAACATTACACAATTTGTCTAAAATACATTTCTCCATTTTCCATAAAAATTTAACAATAACATTGACAATGAACATTGGCAATAATTCATAGATTTCAGTATCTATACAAAAATAATGGTGCACGATGATGATAGATATTTTCTTTAAAAATGATAGTGCCGTTTGCATATAAATACAGCAGATAAATATATCATAAAATCGCTACCGAATATAAAATACATTTTGAATATGCATATTGTTAATTTATATATTTTGTTAATAAATATATATCCAACACCAATAATTTGTACATGTATAAACGCAAACTTTTTATAAACGTTATCAAAATGAATCATGGCATCATTTGTAATACGTTCATTATGCCAAGATAAACGTTTTTCTTCAATACATCTTTCCTTGATTGATCATAACAGTTACTATACGTATACTTATTATAATGGTTTAATTGTATCAAAAAATGAGAGGCTTAATTCCCAGATATGGACAATGAAATTATATACTTATAAAACAAAGCACATCCTGGAAAAGTGGTGAACAACAGATTAGTTTAAAGTGCATTTACCACGTTTGTTTCTGGTCACTCTTATTGATAATTTTACCTACAACAAAAAATGCTGTTATTGATAAACTTGAGTTCTGGTAAAAAAAAGAAAATTAATTCTCACAGAGTCAAACAAAACTGACACTAAATGTTCAAGATTACAAATAAATGACTTGTGCCAAACAATTTTGGAAGAAAATGTGTACTGGCTGAGTAGAAAGAGAAGGAAATCAAGGTAGTACTAGCCCCGACACCATTTGTGTAGTCCCATATACATCTTTCTGTGTACAGTGCTTGTCACTTTACCAAGACTGGGCCAAATTTGTTATGATTGTGATGATTCCAGACCCTTGCAGTGCACACCAATACTTATGCTACATGATCAACTGCTTCTGATCCATTCCACACCTTTTCTTTCACAATGCAATCGAATTACCAGAACTCACCTTTATCTGTAAGTAAAATGTCACTAGTACTCAACAAACATTTCAGGAGCTGCATCCTTCAGAATTCTTCAAAAATTAGTATTGCATAAAACGGAAAAATACAAGTACTCACTCAGTGTACACTGTTGGTTCGTCAGAGACGGAGCCAGTTGTTGACGCAGTCCCATGTCGAGCTCATTGGACCTTGCCAATGAGTAGCATTTTCAATTGACTAAATAATATTGACAAAGAGGGCACCCTAATCCAAACTATGATAAATAACAACTGTCAGAATACTCATGTTTTAGCATCCAGTCATAACAAACCTTTTATGCCCCGATTCACACAAGGCGTCATTACCATTCGTTATGACCGGCACCAATCAAGCATGTGGAGGTAATCAGCCTATAGTACATCAATAGTTAACGAAGTGTATACATAACATATTTTTGCAATATTTTTGGTACGAAGCAACCTTCACACGGCGCGTTATTAAAGGCATCAGCTGCTGACGCATGAAGGCAAATGACGCTTCATGGTCAATAGGTATATGCCTTTAGTTATAGATTACTGTGGTTAATCTTCATATATTTGTTCATGTAAATACATATTTCATATATTTTCTTTGATAAAATCAATAACGTCACTCAGCATTTCCTTGCCGACTTCAAATTGCACATTTTTGGTTGCCCATATGACACCATGGAAAGCCGATTCATAATCCTTATAGTGTACTCCGACCCCAGCATCACTCAACCTCCTTGCGTAATGCACCCCATCGTCTCTGAGACAATCAAACCCACATGTTGTTATCATTGCATGAGGTAAGCCTCCCAGATCTTCTCGAACGATAGGTGCGAAACGCGGGTCGAGATAATACTCTTGAACATGGTTCCAGACCTCGTCCGATCCGGAGCGGCGCTCCATCTCCTCCCGCTGTTTGGTGTGCTTTTCAGAAACCCGCATCTCCTTCGGAATATGATCTCGATCGACGTATTTGAAGACGGGCGAGGTGTCTAGGAGATCCTGTGAGACGTGGTGATTGTGCACGGAGCGGTGAACCATCGCAGGGTCAATCTTCCCGTGCAGGTACAACGAGATGAAATCGCTTACCCTCTCCCGGGTCAACGCGCCGCCGTTTCCAAACTCTGCCTCGTACTTCTGGTAAGAATGCGAGTGAAAGTCCAGCTGCTGAAGACCAGGGTAGAGCAGGACCTGGAGCTTGAGGTTCGGGAGGGTGACGTCATCGTGAATGGCTTGGGAGACCCCAGCAGCAAAGTTCCCACCGGCACTGTCTCCTGTGATGGCTACCCGTCGAGCGTCAAGGTCGAAGATGTGAGCGTTCTTGAGAAGCCATGTGGTGGCACGTAGATTGTCATTGAAACCAGAAGGGAAAGGATACTCAGGGGCCAACCGATAGCTAATTGATAACGATTAAAAGAAGAAAACATGCTTAACCTCCACGATGATTTGACGAAAATAATTTATTCTAATCGTAGTCGTCCATCATATTTCACAGAGCATTAAACATCTACCATTATGCCACATCAAATTATCTACCATGTCATTCAAAGGGCAGCAACCAGGGGGTGTAATTAAATACAGAAGAAATCAAATCATAATTGAAACAATAATAAGATGGCAATGGATAATCCGGGACAATAAAAAATATTGGTACATGTATATGTGGCAAAAACGACTGAAGATTGATTGAGATCATGTTCAGTGAGTACTCAACTATTTTCTAAAGAATTCAATTTAAGAAAAGAAAAAGACATACAAATAATTACGGGCGCTAATTACATCCTGTGTTTATAATTTCAATGCTAATTGATATGTTGAGGTTGTACAAGTACATGTAGTTGTGCACATGGCGTTAATTGGCTTTAATATTCAGCACAGGACGAAACCAGTAGATGCCCAAACCCTCATCAATGCCCCAACAAAATACTTGCAATTGGGCAACGGCACACGGGGCTTCCAATATATAAAAGCCCCCAGCCCCCCACCCCCCCCCCCCGTATTATACTGGATACGCCACTGTGACTGTGTATGACTGTGTTAGTTGTCTGAAACAAAAGTAAAACAAACTGTTCTTACTCTATGGAGACGAGGAAAATGTCGAGTCGCTCTGCCATGGTGCGCGTTAGACCATCGTACGAGTCTGCAGATTTAAATATTAAAAAACATTAAACAATTCTGACATTGTCATTATTCAAATCAACTTTGCTTAAATAGTGACCTAGCTACAAGAGGCTCCCCCCCCCCCCCAACTGACACAAAGGTCATAATGAAGGAAACAGAGAGAAGAGGGAATAAAAGGATGAATGGAAGACAATGTGAAAGGGATGATAACATCACCCCCCAACAACCTACTCTCCGATTTCATCACGTTTAATTCCAAAGCTCTTTGGAAGCGCATATAGAGACGTTATAATGTGATAAGCGCTAGACAAGAACCATTATCATAATGCATATCTGGTTTAGCGATAGTCTCCACAGCGGAAGTGCTTTCTGCTTGGTCAGTCATTAAATGGAGCTCCAAATATATGGTTCCCTTCTATAGAAATTTTTCGTCGGATCGGAGGGTTCGGTACATATATATTCTATATTCTACATCACCCTCCAACAACCTACTCTCCGATTTCATCACGTTTAATTCCAAAGCTCTTTGGAAGCGCATATAGAGACGTTATAATGTAATAAGCGCTAGACAAGAACCGAATAGTATTATTATGATGTATAGCTAGTGTAGAGATAGTCTCCATAGCGGAAGTGTCTTCTGCTTGGTCAGTCATGGGTAAGGTACATATATATTCTATAAAAGGCTTCCAAGTGTTTAAATCAATCAGTGTATTCAATATCTTTAGCGCAGTAGCCGGATGACTGACCAATACTGTTTTCGTATTGCTCAGTCATCCGGGAACTTCATCTATCGATATCACACACAAACAAAGCCATATTTACCGGGGTAAGTCAGTCAAATTTGTTATTTCGCTAGTCAGCCTGATATAGATAATAATAATAATATTATATGGCTTTGTTTTCGTGTGATACAAAAATATATTGGTCTCGCTATATATGACACTATTGGACTCGTTCAATATTGTCATCGCTCGAGCAATATATTCTTGTATCACACTCAAAGCCATCCAATATTATATAAGTATGATATCCGCTTGTGATAGCTATCTCTCTCAATACGCTATCCTATACACCCCTCCCCCTCTTTATATCAATGCCCCCACTATGCCACTGCGCCTAATCAGCAAGGTAAAACAAATATTTCCAGTAGCATTACCTTGATTGATTGGTATTGCATTTGAAGAATAAAAGATACTCAAGTTGACACAAGAGATTGATAGCTTAAATAAACAAAGATATTCCTTCGCCCGTGTGAGATTATAAGAGCAACGTGTTCAAACTATTTATCTTTGAAGCAGTTAACATGAATGTTGCTGATGACGTGCGATATTATATTCTTCTCAGTTCTGTATTAGTAGATTGCACACGATTACTTCGTTAACTGATAATAAACAGTCTCTAAAATTGTCTATAACATATCTATAACTGTTATATGTAAAGATTTTTGTAAAAAAACCATAGAATTTTAATTCATTACCTCACAATGGATTCCTTACTTTAGGTACAAAACGATTTTAAAAGTGTACTTAAATGTTTTAGGGCCCTCAAACCCATTTCCACCCAGCTCATGGCATCTGCTCAGAATCCGAACTTGTCTTTGTGCAAGGGACAGAGAACATAATGTCTGCTATTCTAATATGAAGAAAAACAAGTTCTTATGCTAAAATACTAAATATCATCTTCTGTAAATGTGATTTTCAGAGAGCTTTATGTTTATCTGGTCCAGACGACCCATTCCGCGAATGATACACTCTCTACAAAATCACTTTGAGCCAATATCTCTCTTAATCTATTTATATTTTCAGAGCTAAATAAAATCAAGGTACTAAAATGGTAATTATATCAAAAAGGATTTCTTTTTCTTTTTTCTAAGAAGCAAATACACTTTACTTACCCGGTGACCCCGTTGCCATGCCACCGCCGTGAATGAAAATAACACCCGGCTGCAGACCTTCCTTTCGCATGATTGGTTCATACACACGAACTTTGACCCCATCAAAGTATGTGACCTTTGACCTGATGTTTGACCCCTTGACCGTCTCCAATGGTTTAGGTTCGAGGTTTTCGATTATGAATCGTCTGGCTCTGATACGAGCGAAAATGTTGCCTTGGTGATAAAGGACATAAAGATTCTCCTGCAGATTAAAAAAATGCAAAGATACACAAATATGAATTACACTTTCCTCAAATAGACACTCTGTAGTGGTGGGTGCTCATGGGGAATTTGACACCGTACAGGTGTTTTACCCATAATCGGTGTAAGTTGTCAATCACCGCGGGAGGACTTCATTTTTGTTCATCTTCCCTGAACCTACCGCCTTGTAGGGAAATGTCATCATCATCAAATTTCTCTCACCTCAATATTTGAAGGCAAGCGGGAGTAATTTTCTGGTGGGTTCGGGTTTGGTTTATCGAAAGACCTCAACACACATTACTAACTCATTCATCACAATCTGGTGACAGTGAATTATGAATACAGATACAACACAAATGAAAACAGACGACTATGTTAATTTACGTTACCAAGTTCAAATGACTACAGAGTCGTAACCTATGACTGAAATAATTTGCTTGGTCTTAACAAAATGCTGCTCAAGCGCATACAACTTAATATGACATTCGTTGGAATTGAACAATTTCTTTCACCAATATACCAGTGGCGTATTCAGCATAAGTATGAATAAGTCCAGATAAAAAGCCCCTCCCTCCACATATTCCCCTATATTAATGTTTGATTCAAGGATCAGTAAAAAGTAAGACCAGCAGGGATTCAAGATTCAAGCTACTGAGGATTGATGACAAGATGGATACCACCCCCCCCCTCCCTCTTCCTCCATAGGGTAACTTCTGCCCCTCCTCATATTCACCCACTTCAATAAAGCCCTTAATACACCAGTTTACGGTTGTGTGCGCCATTTTAAACAAAGCCAATGACCTAGAGGTCATGTATTTATGCGTAAATTGAGATTGCGCCCATGCAAATAATGATGATATCACTGCCTACGCGCTGCATTGTGCGCGCACATCATCATTTGCATGGGCGCAATCTTAATTTACGCATAAATACCACTGGTCATAGTTATTGGCCCCGCTTCCGGGGCCAATGACGCCGCTTCCGGGGCCAATGACCCGAGGTCAACTGTCTGCGCATGCGCACTGATACAACTGTAAACTGGTGTATTGTTACTCGACTTTCCTACCTCTTTATATGCCACACAAATAATATCCCTGTGCCACACCGGATTATATCAAAGGCTTCAAGATGCAGTCTATGCCGAGGTTAAAAGGGTTGCAATGAAGCTAATCAAGACTGGAATGGGTTATTTTGTAAAGTCATTGTGTTCCACATACAAAAAAAAACTTTCATCAGGGGGGGGGGGCGTTTCCCAAAACTTTTCATCAGTGATAAATGACAGTTGTTGTTAAAAGCTACTGCAATCCTTGCTTCTGATTGGTTATCAACAGATTTATCACTGACTTTTGTCATTTGTCATTGAAAAAGGCTTTGTGAAACGGGTCCCAGGTGCTGTGTATTGTTTTGTGCAAAATGTGCACTAGTCGCAAACGAGCGACAGTGCAGAGAGGCGAAGAAAGCAGCATGGGTTAGTGCATTGGATTAGAAATCCACTTTGTTACGAGTCATATAAGGAATCACTTCTGTGAGAGTTGAGTCTGCTCCAATTGCAGTGGAATCAAATCTAAATACGTGGTTTATATTTCCACTGCAAAACGAGAAGATCCCTAATCACTCATAAAAGATTTGATTTCCACTCCTGTACTTGTAGAGAGTAGAGAGTCAAATGTCGTAGAACAATTTCACTTTCGACCTGTAACGTGATATCATTGATCAAAGGAATACAAACATGTCTTACAAAGAATTTGGGTATGAACAGAGATGCCATGAGAAGACGAAATTTCCCAGGTTCTGACAGTCCCTTTGGGACCCGGATACTGCGCAGATGCATGATGAATATACCAAGCACCACGCATGACGTCATCAAGAACACCGCCATGTTGCCTGTGTGAAGAGGAAGAAAAAAAATCGAGTTAGATGCATGTAGTTTATAAATACTATACGCCCATGTAAAGCTGTAATGTAATGTTTAATGGTATCGCTTCAAAAATGCGGTATTCCCCACACATGCTTTAAAAGTATGTAATGGTCAATTCCAAGCAGTCGGGGAGCACAATCGGCTTGTGCCGATTGCCACCACCCCCCCCCCCCTGATTGTTTTCTCGTGTCATTCTTTAAATATTCCACCCTTAAGGCATATAATAAATATTGATTAACAAAATTATGCTGTCAGATTTTTGTCGGCATTGTTACTCCACCCCCCCCCCCCCCTCCACAAAAAAATAACATGATCCTGTATCTGCCCCCACACAATCGTTCTAGCATTTTGAATGATCAGTGGGATTCTAAATATACCCCCTTCATTTTTAATTACAAAAAGTATCAATATTATTTTTTTTTAAATACAGACTTATCATTGAAGGAGAGAGAGAGAGCGGGTAGAGAAAAGAACAAGGGAGAAAGCGAAGAAGGAAATGACAGGGGGGATGGAATGGGTGGACGTCTGGACGATAAAGAGATGAAAGGGTGGATAGAGGATGGGGTAGGCCAGAAAAGGGGGAACGGGGTACGGGTGTCGAGACCGAAAATTGGACGGACGGAGATTTAACCAAACCGCCTTACGGAAAAGAAACCGGGAGAAGAAAGGTAAAGGACAGAGAGAGCACTGGACAGAGAATGAGGTGAATAAGAGACGAAAGAAAGAGACTGGAAGAGTGCAAATTATTCGACGACCTTTATTGACATTCGGAGATTGGTGAGTCATATTCCGATCGAGGGAGGGAGGGAAGTATAACAGAAGTCGTTCTCAAAGTCACCTTCACGTTCCTCACGTCTATGTATAAATATGTCATACAGCCCAGTATGTCTCTATGCATGCCCACGTAATACATCATCATAATTTATTACGATGAGCATCCTTGTTCGTTTATTCACATAATCCGTGGCATATATTCTGCTTACTTCCGCTTTTGGTAAATTATATACTATAAGGCGGTGTCACACAGAGGCCAAAAATCCGGATTTTAGTTATCCGGAAGGTAGTTATCCTTTTAATTGCTGTCTGTCACCAATTATCCCATTGAAAATCCTCTGACGAAGCAAGAAAATTCTCCCTTGAAAGGATTTTTCAAGGGATTTTTCTTTGTGACACCGCCTATAGTTTCATGGTTTCACCATGGAATCCCCAATTAATACTTTCTTGATGTAACATGTTTTAATTGATTTCATTAGCCATGACCTATATTATTATTAGACAGAAATAATCATATGGTATGATTTCAAAACAAACTGTCTGTGAAGCTAGCCAAACGTAATCACAATCGAAAAACCTTTGATATCAGAGACTAAAAGCTTTCGGTCAAGGCCTCTAATTGAAACATATATGCATTAAATTTATCAAAAGTTTAGTAAAACATCATTTTACAAATGGGATCAAATCTTTAATCGGTTATCATGATATTGAAGTGCAGATGCATATTTATTAGTCTAAATCTAATTCGGTAAAGATCGAGGTAAACCCGAAGAAAGAGCTTTGAAAGTATGTCAGATTGATACATTTCTTGTAGGACTTGCTAATCGAGACTTATTTTTTGATGGGCATATAAATACATGCGGGTTGTAATCTATATCATAAAAAGCCATTTAGGCATCGATTTCACCTCATCGGTAGTATTACGGGCTAGCTAAATCTTCTCGCAAACAATGCATCAGTAAACTTTACATACTTGTAACTAAGTCGATGTCATTCATAATATCAACAGTACTTACATCCCTATAAATGATCATTATAGCCCATATAAGTTACCTCATACATGTATACAAGCTAATTAAAGCTCTTCCCTGTAAAGGGCCATTTCTATACAAATAAAACAATGCATCAATTCTTCTCACGCAATAACCTACTGTAAAAAATACTAGCTGTACACCTACTATAAACCATATTTATTCATTCTTTAGACGTATTGCTAATATTCAATTCACATTCAAATAATGTTAATTCCATAGCTCAATCAAAACATACAAAATGCTGACATGAAATTAATATCAAATGACATTTAAAATATAACCCTATAAAATTAAAATCGTTTGTGAATTGTAATTATACAACATTAAATGTCGATAAATGATAAAAGCATTTTAGATTACAGGATTTAAAAGAAAATTTTAACATAAATTAAGTAGAATTTTAAAGAAAATGAGAAATACCCTAAAAAGCAAAAGCTTGTACTTGTGTGGATTTTTTTTTTAAGAGAAAAAAGGGAGGAAATTAAGAAAGAAAGAAAGATAAAGATAAAAAGAATAAACACATAAAACATGCACTGCTGGGAATTATGAGCTTTCATTAGAAAAACACAGACGAGAAGTGCAAGTATGTATGTAAAACCATTTTTAGCCCCAATGCATTCTGGCATACTCTCTGACACTCAAACTGCCATACAATAATTAACATACTAGCTTTACATTACATAGAGGAATCAATATATTTCAAAATATCAGTAGTGCTTAAATCCCTATAAGTATATGGAAGAGATATATTGTAAAAACTAGACAGCCTTGTACATAATAATTATGAGGAGCTCGATGAAGCCCCATTCCATTCCTGCACAAGTAGTACCTCATTGATCAATCATATCCCTCTTTCACACATACAAACATCAGGTACACAATATTCGGTTTTTAATAATTAGATATAGGAATTAATAATAGTCCAGAATATGACTAGCGCTTACGATAACTATAAACAAGATGCATAAAGCTCAAATATGATCATGATGATCGTAGTATGTATATAAGCAAAATAAATGTATACACATCGCTCGTGCACTTGCCGGCGAGTCTGCATGGCCAGGCCGTTATATAATTAAGTACATCATTTATCATGCAATTGCATGCAATAGCATAACCCTCTCACAAAGTCACAGATAATTAAACATACACGGTACAAATTCTACCTTTACATGTAGTAAGGACTTACATAACTTTATTAAAGTCTATGCATGTAGGTATGAGTCAATACGAAACAGAATTATACCTTTTTAATACTAATAGTAATAGTAATAGTGCTTACCTTCCTATGATTGCAGCACATGCATGCAGTCTCTCACACAGCTAACGCACGTATACAAGACATATACACTGAACCACGGTGGATGGAGGGCGAGCTATATACTGGACAGCTAGATGCATATACACATCACGTCTTTTGGTGCAGGGTTTCGCTTCGATGGTCAACTCTCAGTACGATGACCAGTCGTCGATAGTAATGGTCAGTAGCATTAAGTTAGACATGGATTAATGACCATTATGACTGTCCATTATTATGATGCACGGTCAGTCGTGTTAATACTAGTGTTGTCTCGTCTTGGTCGTAGAGCTCTAGCTTGCTCTGTTCCTTCCACCTGCCCATTCATTCGAGACGATCCCTTTATTTAGTCGCGGCCTAGAACGTCCCGCGGTACAGAAGCAAGAAAAAGCATGTGTAGGGCAATGGTAAACCTAGGTAAACTAAAAGCAGTAAGATATCAATCTAATGCACTATTACATCAGGGAGGTGAGACTTTAACTCACATGCCCTGATTACATGTATATTCCTATCTAGAATCTAGTGATGCATGTACACTATTCATACAAGGTTGACTAGATACTAGTAGTCTTTCTACGCGAACATTTAGTATTTGAGCTCAATTTTCCATCTGTACAGGGGTTACTCCGGCCCCATGTTCTGTTACGATACCATTTACGACATACCGGATATATACAGATCATGCACGTATTCCATGTCTTTTGGAGCAAGTCAAGAGCAATTTAGACCACTCTCCCCGTCGACCAATGTAATGACATGTATACTGTGACAGTCCCATCTGTCGAAGCCCTTCGTCTCCAATCGATCGAACAGCTATAGATCCAAGGCTGTACGTTCTTACATTATAGCACCTTGTAAATTATTGGCACATGTAACCTGTAATTATGATTGAATAGTTAAGTTTAGTGTAAGAATACTTTGTAGGAGGAGGTCTCGGGATAGATGTTGTGAATAATTATGTGATTAGGTATAAAACCCCCATCCCTTGCATGAAATCCTCACTTGAAAACCCCCCATCTGGAAACGCCCCAATGCACCGACACACTTTGTCAAAGTTCAGCTGCAAGAATCTTCAAGGTTGAGTGAAGCAGACTACACGGAAGAAGAAGAAGAAGAAGAAGAAGAAGAACACCGATAATTATTCATCATGATAAAGTGCACTGACATAAATTAAATTGATCATAATGTAGAATTGGGTTTGCCTATATACATCTAGCTAAATAGTGGTACTATTACTACCTTGTAGAATTGTATTATATTCACTAGCTAGAAATCTGAACTACAATATATTTTTGCAAATTTACAGACATGCATGCTTTAGCCATACATTGTCCATGTTAGCAGACGATTGGTCTAAATGGACACCGCCCCCCCCCCCCTGTCCCTCTCTATCTCTCTCAGTCTTAGGCTCTCTCTCTCTCTCTCTCTCTCTCTTTCTCATTCTCTCTATCTCTTTTTATATCTCTCTACCTCTCTATATCTCTCTTTTACTCTCTAGCTCTCTCTCTCTCTCTCTCTCTTTCTCATTCTCTCTGTCTCTTTTTATATCTCTCTACCTCTCTATATCTCTCTTTTACTTTCTAGCTCTCTCTCTCTCTCTCTCTCTTTCTCATTCTCTCTGTCTCTTTTTATATCTCTCTACCTCTCTATATCTCTTTTTTACTCTCTAGCTCTCTCTCTCTCTCTCTCTTTCTCATTCTCTCTATCTCTTTTTATATCTCTCTACCTCTCTATATCTCTCTTTTACTTTCTAGCTCTCTCTCTCTCTCTCTCTCTTTCTCATTCTCTCTGTCTCTTTTTATATCTCTCTACCTCTCTATATCTCTTTTTTACTCTCTAGCTCTCTCTCTCTCTCTCTCTCTCTCTCTTTCTCATTCTCTCTATCTCTTTTTATATCTCTCTCTACCTCTCTATATCTCTATATCTCTCTTTTACTCTTTAGCTCTCTCTCTCTCTCTCTCTCTCTACTATCTCTTTCTCTGAGTCCATTTCTCTCTTTCTACCACTCTTTCACTCTCTCTCTCTCTCTCTCTCTCTTTCTCTCTTCCACTCTCATTCTCTTTTACTCTGTCTCTCCATCGCCTCCTTTTTACTAGTAGTCGATGTTAATAGGCAAAAACAAACAACATAGTTCGTAACCGAATTCATTTTCCATTTTGAAAATGATTTTCATACCCCAGATTACATTCTGGATCCAGCAATCATAATGCGAGTTGATATCAAAGTCCATTATCAGTCAAGACAAAATCAAACAATTAAAGAACTATCTGATTGTAATTAACTATTCAATCAATCAGAAGAAAGAAACAAAACCAACAAATCGCAGGAAAGACAAAGTCATGCCACTGGAATAGTTACTGTTATATAATTATGATCTTGTTGTAGGCCTAAACTGATTAACAAACAATTACTTTGGCAGTCCTGTGCTTATCCATAGTTAATTAAACATGAAAAAGGCGAAAAGGTTAAAACATTTCATATTCTTTAATTTTCATTTATAGAACGACATTAGGAAGGTTTGTGTAATCCTTCAATGCTACGAGATAAATTTTCATTTACATAAATATATTGAGACTATAGTACAAAAACACGAGATATGTTGGGTGCATACATGAAAACAACGACCTGATAATGTGGAAACATGGTTTCCAGTACGTCTCTATATGAAAATTGATTTATAGGGTCAAACCAAATTATACAAAAAATTGTATAATCAAAATTCGATAATTCCTCTACTTAAATTGATGAAGGTTTAAAATCATTCTGCTAGTTTTTACAATGGTATTTTGTCATTTCTATTTACCTTTGAATGTTGGTTTTGTTGAGAACAAAATTCTTGCTTTGGCATAGTTATATAGGGAGCGAATTAATGTATCTATCATGTCTACATTGAAACACGTACAGTGATTATATTCGTATTATTAATCACCGAGCCGTATTGATAGCATTCTCAATTTTATAAGACAAAACTATTTCAGATTGAATATAACATGATAGATTACAAGACTTTCGAGGACGATACGTAACATGACTTTATACTCATGCTTTATCAACGGTTTTGTAAAGACTCTCCACCGTTTTTTAAAGGTACTATGTCCCTTTTGCAGGCAACCTCAAATTCTGTAGAACTTTGCAGGAATTATGAACATGTCATGTATGTCCTATCTGTGAAATTTAAACGTTAGCAGTGTTCTAATATTCAAATTATGCAAGGAAACCCGTTTACTTGCTAGACTTTACTGTCAGACACTATTGAGTGACTGACTGGCTTTTTTTCTTCTTTGGTAATAACATACATAAAATGAGCATTTGTCTACATCAATAACCCTCTTCTTGTGATGGCCAAAATTAAACTGATTGAATCTTTGCGCAGCATAAAACGTATGACCGTTCGGTACAATGGTCTGAAAATCAAGACTATTACTTATTTGCTCTATAGCTCCTAAGTCGATTTGACAACTAATAGTCGTTTTTTCCCACTTGAAGACATTTTCAAGCCCCACCTTTTTTAGGGAAATTCTAAATTAGTATTATCTTTCAATTGCCGTTGGAATTTAACCTTTTTATTTTTTGGCCTGCAAATGGGACATAGTACTTCTAAAGGAAATTATTCAAGAGAATTATCTAGATGTTATTTTGGATAAACTCCACCATATCTTTCGTCATTTCTTCCCCCACTTGAAACCAAAAGAAATTGCTAAGGAACATGACACCATGAAACGCCGAAGGGTAATGTTTCCATTTAGTCTTTACACCAGCTGCCTCCAATCGTTTGGCGTAGAAGATCCCATCATCACGGATGCTATCAAAGCCACATGTTGTAACAAATGCTTGAGGAAGTCCTGAGAGGTCTTCACGAAGCAGAGGTGACCAGCGCGGATCAAGATATGTGCCTTTAATCTGATTCCACAGGGACTCGTTTCCCGGTCCTTGTCTAGGAGGTAGATAGAGACGAGTCTCCTTGCGCAACTCCGTCGGAATGACGTCATGGTCGACGTAACGCAAATACGGTGAGTTCAACCTGAATTCTTCTATGATGTGCTCGTTGGACAGTATCTGTTGCATGTACAGAGGGTCAGATCGCCCCAGATGGTGCATACTGGTGAACGCCGCTACGCGTTTCCTTGGTAGAACACCCTCGTCACCAAAGTCTTGATCGTACTTCTGGTAAGATGGGGTAAGAAGGTCCAAGCTCTGGGTTACAGGGTAGATCAGGATCTGGAGCTTTAAATTCGGAAGGGTTTGATCGTCATGGATTGCCTGTGACACGGTAGCGCTTAAGTGGCCACCAGCACTGTCTCCAGAAATGGCTACTCTGCTTGTATCCACGCTGAAGTCTTGATCAGCGTTACGCAGGAACCATGAGGTGGCTCGAAGACAGTCTAGGTGACCAGCAGGGAAGAGATGCTCAGGGGATAGACGATAACTGTAATTATTGTTGGACAAAAATATAAATAAAAATAAAGTTCTCGTCATTTACATATCCAATCATTTTTAGAAAATATAAGTTATATCTGTTTGAGTGGTTGCTTTTAAATAAAAGATATTTGAGAAAACGTTTTGATAAATTAAATGATACATATCGCCAAAGTACTATACCTTCATAGGTTTAAAGTGCATTTCATGCCATTATCCGACTATGATTGGTCGAAGGTGTCATGATTGTGGAATAAAAATGTCTAAAAACCGTTAGTGCCCTTTGCATTCCCAGTGTAAACTATTTGTGTTAAGCCATTTGAAGTGATAAAGGTGGTTTGATTGTACTAAACACTTACTCGATTGACACAACGACCACGTTGAGACGCTCAGCGATAAGTCTAGTAAGTCTGTCGTATCCATCTGTCATTTCAAAGATAAATGTGTGTTCTGGTAATGCAATTTCAAAGTGAAAAAAAAAGCTTTGTAGAAACGATTAGAAGGTTGATTCGTATCCAGACACCTACCCCCTGGCATCCACCCCAGACACAACCCCAGTCAACCACCCTCTAGGACGACTACCCCCCCCCCCCCCCCCCCAGACAACTACCCCCGAGGATAGACTTACGGCATTCTTGCAGTCTTATAAATGAATGTGGATTTGTCATTAATCATAAAGGATCTTTCGGATACGAAACCGACCTCACACGCGACATTTTATCCGGAGGTTCACTAGAAAGACGGCCTATGAGACCGACATGTCCGAAGACTGCTAATATATCCTATCCCCTATACCTGCTGCATGCCAAATATTCGGTGATTTGGGGATTACGCCATCTTCGGCTCACAGCAAGTTGGAGTGGCAAAGATTGTAGACAAGGATCATCCCGGATCGACTTACCTGGGGACCCCAAAGCGTTTCCTCCCCCATGAATGAATATCAAAGCTGGCTGAAGAGAGTCTTCCTTCTTAATGGGTTCGTACAGACGTACTCTGACTCCATCGAATGTCGTGACCTTTGACCTTATGTTTGACCCTTTGATCTCTGAAGGTGAAGGTTGATTGGTTAAGTCTCTGATTGACCTCAATGCTTGAATGTAGGCGTGCGGGTTGTCAGGTTGGAAATAGGCCCTTATCCGTGCCTGGAGGGAGAAGAGAGAAAGGAATAAACATCATTTACTGAGAGCAAAGAAAAATGTATAGATAATAATGTATCATGGACATACACAAAATCATCAATAGTGATCTGTCAGTTTATGACAGGTTCAGTGACCCATTCAAAATTCTATTTCAAGTGGTTCTCCAAGTTTCTTTCCAAGTTCCTCGGTCTTGAGCCAACCGTTTCATCGTTTCATACCCTGTTGCTCCACATTGTGTGATAACAAAATGGAAACATGAATTATAGGTACCCCTATAAACAACATTACACGTTCTGATAAGGGTATTCATTCCGCATGTGGTAAATAAATAAATAAAAGAGCGAAAGGAAAAACACAGTAGTGGATCCAGAGAGGCAAAATGTCGCATATGATTGACGCCGTATCACGTAAAATCGACACCATCTGGGCATGTCCCAAACAATTGGCGCTGTTTACATACATTGGCAACATCTCCCATACGATTGGCGCCGTTTACTTCACATTGGCGCCATCTCTCTTAAAAACAGGGCCAGCTCACATTAAAATGGCGCTATCTCATACAAAATCGACACTTCCTTATATAAAATGGCGGGTCTCGTGCTCATTGCGTCAATCTTTGGTTAGATGCCATTTGTTTTATTTTTCGATGGCAGTGGCCCCGATTTGAATGTGAACAATAGTATGGGAAAAGGCGCTTGCAGGCCTATATTTCAGAATTTCAAAACACACCATTATTGTTTACGTTTAGTATAAAATGAGGTATGAGAAAGCGGGAATTATAGATGCTTTAATTTGGCATAAAGAGAAGAACTGTCCCATATATGTTACAGTCGAATGACTTTTCCGCCGATATCGATATGAGATCCCCGTGTATGGTAATTACAACTTTTAGAAAATTACAACTTCCCTATTTTTTTCGATTGCGTTCAAATTCTCTTTCCCTATAAACTTTACACATACACAAAACTAGTCAATACTACATTTTATACACTAAGTGAATACAAATTTAACCACTCAATGATCAGTGAAGGAAACTTTTAACGTGTTTAAATATAAATCTAGCTCCCAGGGGCTAAAAGTTACGAACAGCTCTGAAAATATATAGTCAGCTCCAGATTTAAACACACATTACTAATATTGTTCAGTATAAAACGAGTTTTATATTTCCCCTTTAATTCAGGATGATTAATGTTTTGCACTTCTTATGTTGATGGGTCTTGTAAAGCTGTGGTGTCTCTTAAGGTGGGACTGCACTACTTGTAGCTACTTGCGCCCTCAATATAGCAAACAATGCCTTAGCGGTGACCATTGGTCCCCATGGTCCCCCTTTTCTTATTTGAATTGAGAGCTGATTTGATGAAGTAAACACCTGCCAGTGACCACGCTGGGAGGTCTAATTCCTCCTGGCCAAACTAGTGCAGACAGACTTAACAACCATGGAGGATCTTATATGAGAGGGGCAAGTGCCCTCATAACGAACGTCGAAAACAAAAACAGAAAAAGACGTGAAGGAAGAGAGAGAGAGAGAGAGAGAGAGGGAGAGGGGAGGATAGGGGGTGATGGAGCATGAAAAGAAGACAATAGAAAATTCCCCAATCGGTGTCTGTTGTTCCCCCATGATCCTCTTTTTCCTATATTAATTGAGAGCTGGGTTGATGAGATAGCAACCTGTCAGTGACTCGATGTGTGGTATAATCCCTTCTGACCAAACTATCACACAGTCATGGCCTTTAACAAATAACTACGATTGCTTTACATTTTTTTTTTATATGTATAACTATTAAACGTAGCAAGCGACGATTTTTAAAGTTTTGATATTCGGGCAACCATCAACCCATATTCGGACGAGAGTTTGAAGCCGGAATATGTTTCGGGCAGCAATTTGTCCGAAAATTTAATTCTTCATATCTTATGATTATATGCAATTCTGTACCCCTTTAATATCAGGTGTATTTTGGGCTTTCTCACTATGCCACCCCTCCCTTTTCTCTCTCTCTCTCTCTCTCTCTGAATCTATAAAAATAATTATAATAAATATCAAATAAAGCTAATATTATCTATATACCTTTAATAACAAAATAGGTATACTCTTTACGTAATCTTTGTCATTGTCATCTCAGCGGTGTATTTACACTATCAACTGCTGAGTAGCGATAAAGGAGTAACGGTTATCTAAAATGTTTGCACATCCCAAATCTCGGCTGTAAAATATGATTTGTATCTTTAGCTGAAGCGGCGTTCATAAAGGACGAATACAAAAAAAAACGCGTCAAAGGTTAATGTCTTGAGCTTTGCACTTTAGTTCAGTTTGTAGACCTATGTTTAGCATGCATGCTTAGAGACCTTTGTTACGGGCAGCTTTGTTATTCGTTCATCCCACACACCTTTTCATTTATTGATACTTATACACAGGGGCGGATCTAGGGGGTTCAGCGGTTTAACCCCCCCCCCCCCCCCTTGGCGGGCCAAGTGAGAAAAAAGGGGAGGGGAGGAGGCGGGAAGAAGGGGAAAAAAAGTAAAACAGTAAAACGGCGCGATTTTTGGAAAATCCTGGATTCGCCACTGGGTCAACCTCCCCTCCCCCCTTGGCAAAAAGCAAGATCCGCCCCTGATACACGACATATGAGTAGTCTATGGAATGCAAGTATACTTATTTATGTACATACTAATTCAAATATGTTTCTTTTACTTATTCAAATTGCTATATACTCTCTTGTCCTTTCTTGCTCAGCTTCCTTCATTCCTTTTCTCATCTTACTCTACTGTGTCCTCTTACTTTTGTCAGAATGTATTCAACTGTTTGTTAATCTAATTGATGTATTTGTTCTGTGCACATTTATGTATTCTTATGTTATTCATCTCCTGCCAATGGAGGCCGAATTTCTGTGTTTTTTAACGTGGACATTTAACGTGGACAATAAATTCTGAATCTGAATCTGAATCTGAATCTGAAATCTGAACTTAAAATTGTTTGATTGTAATATACCACATCCTTTTTCACAGCGCTATGTGTGAACAAGGCACATGTATTTATCTCGTCTCTATCTTCCAGTCGGTGCATCTGTTTGTAAACCCCGGGATACTTATCTCTTGGGTGTTGTTTCAAAGCATACATATCAAGTGATAGGTATAACATAGATAATACTACCAAAGTCCAGACATGCAGCATCACACGTGCGTTGGGTATTGTTACTGTTATGACGTGTGAAAATGATACAGTAGCTCAAGTTTTATATGTCATAATACATTTCATTTTTTACAGGTACAAAAATATATGTCAATTCTCCACCCCTCCCCCCCCCCCAAAAAAAACAAAAAAACAAACAAAACAAAACAAACAAACAAACAAAAAACAATAATAATAATAATAATAATAAATTCATGACAGCAAAACATCGGTTTTATTAACTATTTTTTTTTTATTTAAATATCTTTATATTTATATACAGTATCTTGTTATTCATTTATTTTCTATTTATTTGTGTATTTCTTTAATCATTTATTTTTTCATTTATTTACTTTAAGCATGTATTAAGCTTTGATGAGGCTGGCTTTAGTTTTAGTGCTCCCCTCCCCCCCCCCCCCCCCCCCCTCCCCCCTCCCTGACAATTAAGAGCCGGTTTTGATATCCTTAAATGTCAAAATAAATGAATAGATTAAGAACTAAATAAATAAATTAGTAAGTAGATGAATAAATAGATAAATTAATAGACAGATAAATGAATGAATAAATACACAAATAAATATATAAGAGGAGAGGCCATCAACTGAATAAATAATGCGATGTAGGCTTAGTCCTATATTTACAGAGACAAAATTTGAATATTATGATTAAGCAAATAATGTACATTGACCCATTCACACAATTACGATAGGTTATAATAGTACAAAGGTGAAGTGGGACTAAACTTTTATAATGACCACGATCAAAAAGGGGGACTTTGAGATAATACATAGACCTATGTTGAAGTGAGTGGGTGTACACGCTATTCAACTAGAAAAGCCAGCAAAGATATATTAATCATATCTTGTAAATTTGATGTTTTCTTCTTTTCTTATAAATGAAGAATGAAAGGTGAACTGGTTGAATTAGGGCCTTTGTAGAATACTTTTAGCTGTAAGCTTTAATATGTCATTTTCTTAGGAAACATAAAGCGGGATATATATTAATTTTGTTCACATACTTAAAGCCCCACTGCACTACTAATAGCTACTTGCGCCCTCTATATAGCAAACAATGCCTAATCGGTGACCATTGGTCCCCCATGATCCTCTTTTGCTTAATATGTTAATTGAGAGCTGATGTGATGAGATAACCACCTGTCAGTAACCTTGCAGGGTGGTCTAATCCCTCCTGTAAATTAGTACGGATGGGCTTTAAAAAAAATCACGAAACTTGGTAAGGTATATAAATATAATTCGGTTGTTAACAGCAACCAAGAGAGGGAGAGAAAAAAAGAAAGACGATCGAAGAGACACTGATTCCTTACCGAAAGGGCCTGTAGTGACATGGTGGCAATCAACAGACGATACTTCCATGGTTCGCCCAGCCCTTCTGGAACAGGCGTGCGCAAAACGAAGGCTAAAAAGGCGCCGAATAGAGTGCACGCAAACAAGAGATACTTCATGGTTGGATTACGCCCTCCTTCTACGCATTATTTTGAAGTTGTCACGTCTCTGCATCTATCTTCGTGTGGTGGTGATTTTAGGCTTATACGCCTCCAGCTAGGAATGTGAAGAGTACGTACTCTGTCTCAGACTTGGGAGCGTTAGATGAGAAGGTAGGATCCAAAACACAGTGTTCCGTTTTCAACTGAGATTTTAAACCCAAATGTTTAAAGGTTGAAGGTTTTATTTTCTACATTCGACTTTAACAGAGGAAGTTAGACAAAGTTCTGAGTTCGCATATTGGCTTAAACATGACCCCTGCATGCCCGACACCTAGGAGGCCCAATAACCTACACCGCATGATTTGACCTGGTTTGTTTCTGCTCACATGTTCAACGTCGATAGGTCGCTTTATCCAAATATTGAAGTTGTAATAAATCCCTCATATCGATTGTAAGGAAAACGTCAGACCAGGGGTCGTTTCATAAAGAGTTCGTAAAGTTAAGCATGACTTTACGAACGACTTGTATATGAAGTGCCAGATGGGATGCCCAAAGTTTTTTTCTGATATTTCCAATAACCTCAATTAAATTATGGCAAAAAAAAAAATACTATTTGCATTAAAAATGGTTGTTATAATAAGAATGTTAATCTACATCTGCACAGTTCAACTTAATAAATTATAATCAATAATGATTGAGCATCCCATTTGGCTTTTCATATACAAGTCGTTCGTAAAGTCATGCGTAACTTTACGAACAGCTTTATGAAACACCCCCATGAGGTGAAGGATCCCCCCCCCCCCCCCCATGGTACTGTGTCTTTAAACTAGCGTATCCAGTTCACATGGCAGTGGTGTATGGGATGGTTTTAGCCTCCCCCCCCCCCCCCTGCTTACCATCGGAACCCCTTCTCATCACGCTCATTGTACATTTTAGATTGTGTCACTAGTTTTCAGACGCCGCTCCCCCCCCCCCCTTCCCCATTCCTCTCTGCCCTAGAATGATATGTGAGAATTAAACCTTCATGTATATTATAATATCATATTACTAATTATTCATTTGATAAATACTACTTGAATATTATTGAATGTTAATACCTTCTTTACTCTTCTCTCAAAAGTTTGGCTTGAAAGCATTAACATGATGCTTTGGTCTTCCGAACATGCACAGTATACAACACATCCATGTTAACTGATGATACAGGACATACAGCATATTAAGATAAAGTTAATATGGTATATCCGAAACATGAGTATGAAGGATATACGCGTTTACAAGAGACATACTGCCGATTGATTAGTTGTGCCGTGTGTTTATGTTGGATGTTAGGGAGCTGATAGCTGTAAAGCAACATTACCCATATAGCGGCATACCATGCATGCTCCCCATCCAATAAAGTCATGAAAAACATTTGTTTTTAATTTGTTGTTACTTATTTATTTATTATGTTTTTAGGTTGGCTGGTTGGTTAGTTATTTGTTTCTTTGTTTTGTCAGTGTCATTTTGTTTTCATCTACCTCTTTGAGACACTGCATCATTTTAAATCATTTATAATCAGAACAGTATTCACGAATTTCCGAGATAGACGAACAAAGAGAAGGACATCAGACTGGAAATCAGAATATGATGATTATGATGCTAATGTTAAACGAAAGACGGACAGAAAATAGAGATAGGTGGAGTAACACAGAGGCAGACAGAAATATGACATGACAGAGAGACAAACAGACATAAAATTGTACAAAGTCATACAAACAGGCATGAGGTAGGGGAACAGAGGGGCTGGCGGAGAAACCAAGAAAGAGAAAAATACAGGAATATTTAATCATAAAAAGAGAGAGTGGAAAGAGAAGAGAGAGGGGTGAGAGGGAGAGAGAGAGACAGCGAGAGAGAGAGAGAGAGAGAGAGAGAGAGAGAGAGAGAGAGAGATGGGGGTATGAGAGGGAGACGGAGAGAGAAAAGGGGAGAGGAAGTGAGAGGAGAGAGTGGGAGTTACAGAGAGAAAGAGAGAGAAAGAAAGAGATATAGAGGGTCGGGGGGGGGGAATGGAACCACAAGTTTTGGAATATGCCACATAGTATACTCTTAGATATATTGTAAATATAAATGTATCACCAATGGAACGACTACCTCATAAAGAAGGAAGATAAAGAAAGAGACACCAGGAGACTATGGACTGCATTGATACTAGTGAAGTTTATTTGAGATCATCAATAAATTCACAAGGTGACATGATTAGTATTAATATAAAAAGATATTAATTCAGTCGTGCCATTGTTTGACTTCATAGGCAAAGTTGTGGAAGCGTATTTGGTAAGATTGGGTAAGACAAGAAAAGCAATAACGACGATGATAGTACTCGTTTATACTTTGGGAAGGACAAACAAAATTATAGCAATAACACTTTTGATAGACAACACACACAAAGTTTGTGCTATAAGTGCTAATAATATGGTCTCGGTAATACAGACATTTTCAACATAATGTTCGAGTATATTACAAAGTGATATTTAATTCTTGTCTGTTCGTTGTTACTTTTACATCATCTTTTTCCCCCTCCTTTTTATTTCTTTCTATTACTTTCAGATTGTTTTTGACACTTCTCCCTACATGAATTACACGAAATAGTTTAAATTCCAGCAAAAACAAATAGATGCCCCTTTCAGCATAAATCCGTGATTGTTTCAACAGCAACATTCTTAAACAAAATAATGCAAATAGAAATAATCATTTAAAAAAAACATCCATAAATTATCATATAAGGCTAACTACATGAAAATATGCCATCGTTTTAGTAAACTCACTATAATATATTGAGACCAGAATGTTTATATATATATATATATATATATATATAATATACGTCTTTTAATTTCTCTTTTTTCGGGAAACATGATTTCGTTACACAGGACATGTATATATAATATATAACGAAGTAATTAGGTAACAAGTCATAAATAATTATTCTAAATTTAAAATATAATTTTCTCGAGAGGAGGGGGGGGGGGGGGTAATGAAATCAAATCAGCTGCAAAGATAAACAGTACTGCCAAGAAGAAAAACAACAATTGCAGTCTACACAAATTCGAAAAGACAAAAGGTGTTGAACGTGTAGGGAATATTATACATTTTCGAAACAGGTTGACATTCATAATACTCATACGGGCAAGGCCAAGCTACATGTTTATTATTTTGTATGTCACAGACCACCTTTAAGATGTTAGTATATCTGATCATTGCATTAACATATAATATATCAGCGTGTTTTTTTTCTTCTAAATTAATCAGTTTTCCCTCCTCAAAATGACAAAAGTTAATCTTTTTCTGCACTACTTCATTTTTGTTTTAATGCAATTCTTCAGTAAATGAAGCAATGTGAAGAGAATTATAAAATTTAATTATAACATTGCTAAGTCGTACACAAAATTAGGGATTTTTAAATTCCACACCGCGTTGCCAATCTAGAGAGTTAAATGCTTAGTTACAATTAATTCGTTCTTATTCCAAAACGGCACAATGTACTGCAGTGGAACAACTTTCTGTGACTTTTGCTCTTTCCGCCCATGTACAATGTGTAATTCGTAGCATTCACTGCTATGGGTTAATAGCCCTATACTATAGCTGTATAAGATCTTTTATCCGACCGGATGTACAGTGCAAGGAAACATTTGATATCAACTTAAGTTCAGAACATAACTCAGCATTAATACGTGGTGACGTACAGGACACCAATCGACCAAAACCTTGGACTTAGCTTAAGTTTCGATGTAATATAAACGGAATGCGGATGTGGTACGATGCCTCTTTGGGACAAGGACATAACAACTCAAATTTACGCGGTAATGGACGTTAAGTCCCTAATATCGACTTTACTCAGACATTGGTACTCCGTGAAAGCTATTATTATTTGCTTACTTTTGAATTTCTTCAAACAGCCAACCTTCAAGCGTCATTTATATTTATGTCTCTGATTGTCATGGCATAAACCAAGCATACACAATATAACGTCATGGTATAGCCTTAGGTGCATTGCAGCGCCTGACTCACGAATAGAATAAACCCATTATCATATTGGAATACCAGTGCATGCATGCATGGACGGTGGTACGATTGTCTGAAGAAAAAAAATTGGTTTAAAAAACCCTGCCACATCATAAAAACAAGCTATCCAATACAACATTCTAACTCTTGTCATTAAAATATTGGGAAGTTGCGTTTCTAAAATGCTACACCTTTCAGTATTCAATATTCAAAATATGGTAAGTATTATTGTAAGTATTATTGAGAATTCAACTTGGTCTAATATACCCTGTATGAATCATTGCTAATGTACAAAGGCATATTCCCATCAAATCTTAAGCTACAAACTGAAAGTAAAACAGGATACAATCACTGTCGACATTGTCTTCGTTTTTGTTATTTCGGTTTCAATTTCCTATAAGCAAAAATAAAGAGTTCTCATTTGCAGTGTACACGAAACTCAACCAATACATCTTATTCAACATTGTAATAAACTGAGTCATGAAGTAACTTCCTTGTGCAATATTATAAGCATGATAAGTGGCGGATCCAGGGTTATTTGGGGGAGGGGGAGTGGGAGGCGGGCACACATTTAAAATGTTTCTGACCAGCAAAAAAGAAGTTATGACATTTCTAAGGTGCTTTTTTGGTTCTGATATTGGTATACATGAGGAAAATTAAGGGGCACATTATAAATTTGTACATGATTATTTACAAAACTTAACAAACTATATTTACATCAGTTGATTTATATTTCAAAAGCAAACGTTGCAATCTGGTTACATTCATGTACAACTATCTGTCTTATTTTGCTACATGTTAATATGTTAATATGTTCAGGTCAGTTCTGAAGGGGAAAACGTCCAGTAAATGTAACCATGTTGAGGATACGACTCAATTAACTGAGCTTAGCACCCGCCCCCCCCCCCCACCCCCCCACTCCGAGAACGGACGGACCCCATGCGTGTTGCCAAAATATCCTTTTCGTAACAAAAGAAAAAGGTCGACCCGTATTGACTTTACACACCGGACTTTTGCTGAAAGGGGGGGGGGGGGGTGCTGAAAAAGGCTTGTATACAAAAGAAAAATGTCGAGCCGTATTGATTTTACACACCGGACTTTTGCTGAAAAGGGGGGGGGGGTCGGTTGGAACACGCATATGCTTACCCTAAATAACACTGAGTGGGGGGGGGGGCCTGGGCTTAGCATAGGAAGTGAGTCAGAAATAAGGTCTGTTTTAAGGGCAAATGTGAGAGAACAAG